TCTTAGGGCAATATGGAGGGAATCTGGCCTCATTCTTTTTGTTTCCTTTCTGTTTGTTAGGAAATGAAAAGCAGTCTTTTGCTAGAGTAATTTATCCACCAAAGTGTGATAATTAAGCTGTGGGTGGTCTTGAAAGATAATGTATCAAAAAGTGATTGATACAGTTAAATGGGTTTAACTCACTCTACTTTGAACTTTGTGAATATTCCATTCTTTACATATACTAGTAAAAGAATGTTTTTTTTTTTAATTTTGCTGATGAAGAGCACCAAACTATTACCTTCTTCCTCTAAATAGCCTTCTAGAAGCTTTCATATCTGTGTCGTGTGTTCTTGGGTACAATATAACCAATTATAAGGTGCCAGCTTCATTAATGAAAAAACAGAAATAGCATGAACTTAGCTGTCAGTGCATTGCAGCTAATATAAGTGCCTAATTCTTCACAGGATCTTCTGCTTTAACACACTTCCATGGCTGTTTGAATGCTCAGCTTGCCCTAGGAGCAAGCGCTGTGTACCTAGATTCAGGCTTTTAAATGGTGATCTGCGTTTGGGTCTGTGCATCAGACCCAAAATAATGATACAAAAGTTACCTTTTTGTCAGGCTGTTGTCATTTTGAAATGACCGTATTACAGTTTAGAAAGCAAGATGTCACTCAGTTCTGCCAGGCAAAAAGACTTAAATTTTACTGAAAAGGGAGCTGGCAGCTGTTAGTCTTGTCAGTGTGGCTTCCCACTGATGCTGTAGTTGGAGCTGCATGCTGCGTTTTCCTGCTGTCCCACAGCAGAAGGGTCATTTTTTGAGTTACACATTAAAAGATAAGAGCTTTCCTTGCTTACTCAGTAGTCTAAACCATTGGATTAGAGGTTAATATACAGAAGATACTGGAGGTACAATTGTACCTATACATAAAGAGTAAATAAGAATGAAAAAGTAATTGGAAGCACTGTGTCCTTCATGCTAATTTAGAGGCATGGCATCTTTGAAACTTCCTGTCTGATAGTTTCCCATCTTAAATTGGTGATAATTACTGACTATGCTATGGTGATTAGTCTTTCTTCCTACTAATTCTCTAGAAAAGTATATTAGAGAAATGTACTAAGAAAGACATAGTAGGTTTGAAATATCCATTGTCTGGTTTTCAGAACTATCTCTATTTTGGACACAGATTTAATTCTTTTATCAGTTTGTTCACAGTTTCAAGTTCTTTCTGAATCTGCATGTATTCACGGTGTTATTTGTTTGCAAGTTAAATTTTTTTCTCTCTGAATTCAAATGTTACCAAAGTCATCTTGAGTTCAAATATACAGCTCCCTCCAAAAGCCATCTGCTCATTGTTCTAGCCTAGTCAGGTATTAATTTGACTTCACTTGACTGTTTAGCCTTTGAAGTTCCTGCACTCATGTTTCCCTCAGCTTTATTTAGCCTTATATCAAATTTAAAGCCCTGTCAGATTAATGTTACTTGTTCACATATACCAGCTCCACATTTTAGAAACTCTGCCAAACTATAGTCTGGGTCTTTTTTTTAAACTTACTTCCCGTATTGCTTTGGCAAGCCTTCATAACTCTGAAAATACAGTCTAACATGCAATAATTTCAAAACGCTGAATTTTTTTTTTTTTTAAATACCAATCATAATGGCTTTAAAAGGTCAGGCAGCACATTGTAACTCCTGAATTTTTTGTCATAACTTGGCCTGGTTCTCAGTCTGGACAGGTGATGGTTGTTGCAAATGAATGCAGCCTCTAAATCCTCTCCGAGTTCCCTGAGCAGTGAGGGGGGAGGCAGGAGGAGAGAATGAGTGGTGACTTTGGCAGCTCTGACTCTTCTGCGCACACTCAGAGTACAGGCCTGGAGTCTGACATGCGTTCTGCCAGTGCATGCTGTGCATGGAGCCCCCTCATGCTGGGCACACACAGTTCAAGAGTCATACACCAAAGGATTTTATGGCTGTGGGATTCCTGGTTAACTGGAAAATTGGAGAGTTTTCAGAGACAAATTAGTGAAATAATGAACATATTCACTAATGTGCAAGTGCAGATTCTGGTCAGTATCTCTGGTTAAAGCAGAACAGTTCACACAGTCTCCTCTTTCCATTTGTTTTGTTGGCTGTGACGAACAGAGTCCTTGGTGAGAAAAACACCCACCTGTTCAGAACTTGCCCTTGACTGTAGAATTTTTCCCTGACCAGATTGTTGGTCTCAGTAGTTTGTTCAGCTTCTCTGCAATGCTGGTTTGGAGAGGTGACACAGCTTGAGAATGAGGGTGCTGATGAAAGGAGAGGCAGAGGCAGAATGGATGCAGACAGTACAGCAGAAATCCTGTGATCAAATGTGCAGCAATTTCAATATTACTGTATGACAGTTTTGGAATTGCTCTGGTAATTTTATATTTTCATTGCATAGTCAAAGCCTTATTTGTACAAACTCCATTTTTTTACTGTAGAAAGGGTGACTCAGTACTGATGGCTTTTGTTGTGAGAATTCTCTGAATAAAATGACACCTGGAACACTTAAGATTTGATGAGTTTTCATTTCTAGCTCAGTATCTTAACCTACCACTCAGTTTCTAATAAAGGGGAGAATCATGTTGGGAGTATTCAGAAATGCTTTTCTCATACTTAAGAACTTATGATTAACAAGATTTTCTTTGAGCTGATTGGTAAAAGTGTAAAGTCTCAGGCTTCTGAAATTATCGGAAGCAATGTTATTTGAGAGAATCCTGTAATAATGCTGATTCATTTCCATAAAATTGAATTCTAAATTCAGACTGCGTATTTAACTGTTCTGAATTTTGGTCAGAATTTTCCATGTGAAATCTTGGAACATGATAGATTGCAGGAAGAGCTCAAGGTGGGGTGCTGATACAGATGGGCAGGACTGCAGTTATCTGACCTGGCTTTGTCTGCTGGGAGAACAGCCAGCCTCTAGTGGCTCACAGCAAGAGGTTCCAGAAGATCTTAATGATGTTTGATGGTGGCTGAAACTCTGCTTGGAGATCATCTTTAAAACCAGTTGCTGTTTTCAGTGAGGTTTTGCATCATGAGCATTAGTAAAAATTATACTGCCTTAGCACTTTTCTCCTTGAAATGGATGGGGGCAATGGATACCAGAAGGGATACAGACAGCATAAAGGAGTAATAATTTCTATTCATCCTAATCCTCTTCTTCCTATCTCCTGGAAAGTCTACAATGTTCATTTCCAGGTTTTGCTTTTGGGCTGGGGTACTGGTGCCTGAGTGCCCTGTGCTGTTGAGGCAGAGCTGCTGGCATAAACTGTGCTGCTGGCATGGCACTGCCCGCCCGGCCGGGGCTGCGTGTCCTTGCACTGCAGTGCAGCACCATTCCTGACCAGCTGGCACTGCCATGGGCCGTGCTCTGGGCACCAGCACTCAGAATAATCAGAAACCAGAAACGGCTCATGCTTGTGCCATCAATTAGAGAAGAATTGCACTGGAATCTCAAGGATTTTTCCTTTTTTGGGGGGAGTGGGGGAGGGGGTAGGACGCTGCTGCTTGAGATAAGTACCGGAGTGGTGCTGCAGTGACGTAAAAAATGCTCCTTCTGAAACCTGCCTCAAAGACATGGTTGCTGAAAAGGAAGGGTTATGAATAACAGTGCAGTGATGAAGATAAGGATTTAACTTGCTTTAGACTGTTACAGTTCCTTAATGCCAGGTGTCATGTATGATGGAATACATTATTTTTGCTAGAGGGTTAAACACTGTCGCTCATCTCAGCTGGCTTTTATGGATTTCCAGGTCTGCCTGCTGAGAAGTAAATTAAATATGTAGCTGCTTCTCACCTTTCCTCTGTTGCTTCACTAATGGAAGAGAATTTTTCTTGCCAGTAATACAGATGGTGATCATTGCTGCTGAGATTTATTATTATTGGGTATCAAGAAGAATGACAAATTGCATTATTTCCAGAAGGATTTGTTTCTGAAGAAAAGGATAATCGGCATGCTTCATTTTTCTTAAAGCTACGTCCAGACAATTGGAGGCATAGCAAACCTACACAAACTTTATAAGCATGGCTGAAAAAGAGAGATGAACTGCTTTAGGATGTCCTTGAAATATGGTGTTGGATGGGGTTTTTAACTTCACTTGGAAGGTTTGGCTCTTTTTCTGTTGCCTTTTGCATGTGCTGTTCGAAATCCATTAAATGTCAGATGGAGGTTAGGAAGCCAAGGGGTAACTGTTCTATTCTTATGTATTTATAATCACTTTTTTCTGTGTTACGATTTCTCTTAAAAAAATAAATAAATATATATATATATATCTGCAGGACAAGTAGCGTATTATTTTGGTTATACATTACTTTGAGTGCTGTTGTGCTATTAACATAGATATGAAAAGAACAGCATTGAATTGAGTGCTTTATGGTAGATTTTGTTTAATTTTCCTTTACATTTTATGCAAAAAATCCGTGTATGTAAGCATGTTATTAATGTTTGCCTGTATATGTGAGTACTTTCATAAGAACATGCATTCAATGGCCATAAGAGTTAGAAATTTTTTGTCTAAATTATATATTCTGGAAGAAAATACATTTAACTGAATAGATTCACATGCTGACAGTGCCAGAAGCGAAAGCACACAGAGAAATGTTTATATTTGAAAGTATTCCTTTCAGTGAGAAGATTATCATAACATGCATTAGCTGCAGAGCACTGCTGAAAATCTGTCTGCTAAGAATGAGTTAATCAAATTATTTTCTCTTTCTTTATCTTCCTTTCCCTGTTCCTGGCTATGCCAGCTTTTCCATCATTACATTTTTCATCTGTTTCCAGGACCTGTATGTACCAGCCAGGAGCACTCTGTCACTGCCAGCGTTTGAAACTGCTTTTGTTTGTTTAATGCCCTAATTATAGACAAGGTTTGCAAACACTCTTGCTACAAACGCTTTCTTAGGAAAATCAGCAGAATGGTTAGCAATCTTTAGCTGATTATGCTCACACTCCCCTTTTCTTCCTTTCCCTCCTCTTCCCTGTGCTGCAGGAGCCCAGTAACAAACGGGTCAAGCCTCTTTCCAGAGTCACATCCCTGGCCAGCCTCATCCCTCCTGTGCGAGCCACTCCACTGAAGCGCTTCAGCCAGACCCTGCAGGTAATGCCAGCAGCTCCTGCTGCTCCCACACAGCTGCAGCTCCTTCCAGCCTTCCTGGGAGCAGGGGTGCAGTGGACACCTGCCACTGGAATGTGCCAGACAGGCTTGGGCACCTCATCACCACAAGGTCACTCAGCTTAAAACTCTCACCTCAAATAAACCACTTCTCTGTCCAGATAATTAATGGTTTTCACTTACCAGTAAGAATACTATTGCACCTGTAGCATATAAAAATTGTTTACTAAAGGATTATGGTTTCTTTTAAAATTTAATGAAGACAACATTCCGTAATGCTTTCTCTTAAAGTTGGTTGGTGTCTTTGAAAATGTTATTTTTGGTGTAGTTGGTCAGGTAGGACTGCTACATTTCCTCCTGTAGAGTGAACTTTTACCTTACCTAAACAAAAGAGTTAGTGAACAATCGGAAATTTCCAAGTAATTTTCCAAAGGTGATGATGAAAATTAATAAAGGGCAAACAAATTTTAAATGCACTTTCTATTTTACAGATTAGGTGTGCAATACTGAACATACTTGGAGACTAATGAAACTTCAGCTTACAAAGCATTTGTGCCTTCAGGCCTAGAGATGGCAAACTATTGGGGTACTCACCTCCTAATTGCAGTGACAGCTACAGCACTGCTCTGGGTCTGGCCCAAAAAACACTGTTTCCTCTTTAAAAGAGTTTATTTAAGAAGGCATGTAAAAGATCTAAAGAAAATTATTTAACAAGCTTAATTTCTTCGAGAAGAACTGTAAAAATAATTTAAATGTGTTAGAAATGTTCCTTAATCAAGGAAATTGATTAAGGATTTGATAAAATTTGATAAAATTACCTAAATTAGAGCTTTACTGAAGTTATCTCTTAAGGAGGAAAGACATGATACTTCAGAGTCTTTGAGGAATAAAAAGTCATGGGAAAGAACTCCATTTTTCTGTAGTCATAATTATCTAGAAAATGGATATTACAGGGTTTTCTGACATTGGTTTTCCCTCTTTGGTTCCTGTGATGTTGAAAGTGCAGATTTCTGCACGGGGTTGGAGATCAGCCAGATGTCTGCAGCCCCCAGCCTGGCTCAGTGCAGGTGTGGTCTGCATGACTGGAGTAGAGCTCCCTGTATCCCCTGGGCTCCGTGAATCTCTGGCAGAGTCTGCTCCAGTGCAAATGGGCCCAGCTCTGGAAGGGCCACATCAGTTCCAGTTGTGAGGAGTATGGAAAAGGATGTAATTTTTGGCTAAACTGCTGCTGAGCAGGGTGCTTCCCCTTCCACAGCCTTAGGCAGCTGTTGGCCTCGTTTAGGTACCTGTGCTATTGTTCTGCAGTGAAAGCCTCTGGGACTGCACAATGCAGTGTCCAGAACAATATTGTGTTTAATAAAGTTGTTTCAGACTAACCAAAACAACTATCCTTTCAAGGATACAGTAGCAGCTTCCCAAAATGAGAGCTATATTAGTTTCAGGGTAAATTTTATCAAAAATGGGAGGCAAAGTAATGGCTTTGTTGCAAGTCCTATTGTTGCAAACATTTCTGTTTTGCTCTGTCTACACTTATTATAAGAATATATTTTAATTAGCAGATTAAACAGGTATGTTATTTATACCATCCCCTCTAAGTATGTGCTTGAAGAAGCTGTGATGAGAAATCAGCTTCTGTGTTCTCCAGATCCTGCTGGTGATATCCCAGCTGTAAACTGATTTGTTATCTGATTTTCTCAATAGCTATAGAACAGGGACAAAAAAGATTGACCTTGTGCTCAGGTGTCCCACTTGGAATTACTTAGAAACATTCTGGGAAGTACATATAGCTATTTCACTTGATTATGTTTTATGTATAGCTGTATTATGTATAGTTGTCACTGTGTCTTGAGAACAGTACAGGTTTCTTTTTGTTCTGTGATCCCCTGTAAAAAAGAAAAAAAATGTTGATTTTTCTTACTGGTGAACTTTTATGTATCTTCATTGTTATTTCAGTCAAAACCTATGTTTCTTCTTACATTGCTGCTAGGTGTTCTGTGTCTGTAAAATGAAGAAAACTACTGTCATCACCACAACATTCAGAACAAACTTCTTCCCCTGGAAGAAAATAAAATCAACAGAACATTCCATCTAAAAAAGACCACTCCAACAGCATCAGTAAAAGAATTTAGAAAATTCTGAGGTTCCTTTATAGCTTTTTAAACAAACCTTCTTAGATAGCCTTCTAAATGGAAGATACATGTAAGAAGGGAAAAAAACCCCAGCTTATTGCATAGGATTTTCCTTACCTCCGTACATGTGATTTCCACTTTACATTATTGGACTTTCAGCATGCAGCATGAAGAGAAACATTTTCATCTGGGATTTCTGTAGTTTTTTTTAATAAATGTTCTTAGCAACTTTTCATGTTTTGCATATTTTATTGATTATAGAAATATTTGATTTTTCTTGTGCATACTTCACTTCATTCCAATGTTCCACTTATTTCCAATACTTATTAATATTAATACTTATTTCTCATAAGGATTCCAAGTAAAAAATACTTGAAGTCTTTCAGGGTTTCTTTTTGGGCCTTTGTTTGTTTGTTTTTGTTATTGACTATTTGTAGTCATTCTGTTTCTGTCATGGAGGGCAGTGTGTACCAGCTGCCCAATAAAATGCTGTTAGCTGCATCTCTGCCAGCTATGCTGTGTCTGTGTAGCTGCAGGATACCCAGTGCTAAGCAGGTATTCTTACCTGTTAATCCACCTGGGAAGCCAGTATATTTCATAGCTGTATTTTCAGTCTCCATCAAGCTAGACTAATGATTATGATCTGGTGTTATTTATTATGATGCCTGGTCTTATTCACAGCTGTGCTGTTTGGCTTAAAGCAGAAAATAGGATCAGAAAAAGAACTCCAGCTGATGCTGAAGAAAGAAATTGAAATCTGGCTGGCTTCCTCTGCAACTTCAGTTTTCATCAGTGTGTCTTGAATTTAAGTAGGGAGTCCAAATTACTTTCTATCTTAGGACACCAAAAATTTCTAAAAATCCTCAAGAAGAAAATTGTTTTTAATATCAGTTCTAAATGCCAGGGCTTTGATCAGTAGTGGCCTTTGCCTAGTACATGAAGTTGTTTGCTTTACTGCAGCTCTAATTAAGGGTTGTTAATTGCATTAATTAACATTGTTAACACATAGACCCTTCAAGAATCAATCTTATAACAGCCAGGGAAATCTGTTGCCACCAGAGAAATATGGTAAACAAGATGACGGGTTGTGGATGGATTCTTCCCCATCTCCATTACTTTTTGAAATTATACAAAAATTCTAATCATCCCACGGGGCCATAATTTTTAAAGAGTGTGTGGGACATGTTTTTTAAGGAAGCCAGAAACTAGGAAAATATTTTGAAGATATGTGAGTGCACTTTTGACATTCCTGCAGCTCCTTCATGGTATTCTATCACATGACTGATTTTTATTTATTTAATTTTTCCTTCTTGACAAGTACAAAGCAAAGATAGCATAAGAGTATGTTCAAACTTGTTTTTAGAATTTTTTGGTAGAACTTCAGTTTAGGGCTCTATTCCACTAATAAACAACCTCAGTCCTGTGTCCCTCATTAAGCTAGTTAGTTTCATTAACTTTGTATGGTTAATGAAAAGGCTGATGTATGACAGAAATCAATTAAATATATACTTATTGTGTCTAGGTAGTAAGGATGCTAAGCAAACAACCAAGCAGGACTTTCAGCCTCTTTGTGTCTCTTTTGCCCAATGAGGACAGTTTAGGGTTGTGGAGAATTGTATGGAGTGTTCTCCTGCATCAGAGGGGAACATTATCTCAGTGCATGTGAAAGGTCACTTTTCCCAAAATATTACCTAATTTGAGTTTGATCTGTGATTCCTTATTATAACAAGTGTAAATTAAGCATGTAATTGCACATGTGTTTTTGTATCTTCTTAACTCTTGAAGGAAGACTAGCACCTGACTTGCAAAGTTTTGGAAGGGGTGTGTGTGTGTTTATTGTTAAGGTCTTTCCAAGTCCGACTCAGAATGGCTTCTATTAAAAGACAGGTTTTTTTATTTATGTCATGTCTTCTGATATGGTAAAAACATAGTATTTATAGGCTCTGTTTGTATTTCGTGGGCTCTTATCTTCAGAGAAGATTGCCCTTTGTATATGCTGCTTTCGATATGGATATTGAGAGAATTTATTTTGTTTTAAATATTGTTACCCAAGGCAATTGAAAGCTGATTTTGTTATGTAAGGCAAGTTTTAAATAACAATAAAAATGTAGAGTATTTCAACTATGTGAAACAGTTTAAGCATTTCAGAGGTATGACCTCTAAAAGAAGTCTCTCATTTTAATGAAGCAAAAAAGAAACTTTTTCAAAATAGAATAATAAGAGCATAAAGTATCCATCCTTAGCCTGAAATCCTTTACAGGATTTCAGAGCTTACAGGCAATTTGAACTCTTAAGTCTCTCCTAAAATTGAAGGTGGCTTTATTGAAGTTTAGGACCAGATCACATAGTTGATACAGAGATGCTGGTATACACTGGTAGAGTGTTTAATATTTGCATTAATTCTAAATTTTTGATGAAGTAGATGTGAAATGTATGAGTAATTACTGCCTGTTCACAGAATTGAAACTGTATTTATCAGTTCTCTTAGTTTAGAGTGCTGCACCATTCTGCATTATCCCTGTATACACTCTTTGTGCTTGTTGTATGGGAATGCAATGCAGAAGTTTTGTTCATGTTGAGGACAGGACACAGAGAAAGTTCACTGCAGGAATGGAGGCCTTGCCTTTCCATGAGGATACATTGAAATAATTTCTCTTACATTCCTGGTACTAAATGTTGCTGTGAAGTTCAATGTAAAAACTGATCAGAGAACATTTGTGGTACTGAACTATGTGTATGAATTCCTTAGAAAATGGGAAAAGTGAGGGTTTAACATGAAACTGTCGTAACATAAACCAAATTGTCTCTTCCCAGCGGTCCATAAGTTTCCGCAGCGAGAGTCGCCCCGACCTGTTCAGCCCACGGCCATGGTCTCGAAATGTGCCCCCTGCTACCACAAAGAGGAGAGACAGCAAACTGTGGAGTGAGACCTTTGATGTCTGTGTCAATCACATGCTCACATCCAAGGAAATCAAGCGGCAAGAGGTATAGATATAGATATTTTTTTAACCATAAATTTAATGTTCAAAAGTCACCTTTAAAGCGTAGAGTTGGGAATGCTCATAGGCATTGGGATAGCACTTGAAGATGTCCTGCAATTAAAACATGTCACCACCTCCACTAGAAGCAGAATTCCATCTCTAGTCTTTATGACTCAAGCTGTATTACATTTATGTAACCTTTGTAAAAAGCAGCTCATCGTATTTCCTTAACAAACCCAAAGTTACTGAGATATATTGTCCTGTGATTGTCTGCATGTGTGTGCGTGTTCTGTCTGACACTTTCTGTAGTCATGGTTGCTATTCTGGTGTTACATTTTGTTGTTCTAGTAATGTGAGGTGAGCATGCTGTGCCAGTAAAAAAATCAGGTGATACAGACACACAAAAATGCACCATCATTTCCCTTTTGCAAAAGACTGTCTTTGAGAAAATTTCCAGTGCTAGAAAGGTGACACACCTATCAAAAGATGTGTCTTCCAAAGCAAAAAAGAAGCATGCTGGTGTTTTTAATGTGTCAGACAAGACAAAGTCTGAATAGTTCATATTATAGTCAACAAGGAGCTTTTTTAGAATCAAGGTATTTTTATTTTCTAAAGAAATTTCTAGCAGTATCAACAAAGCTTGTAACAATCTCCCTGAGAATGTTTCAGAGACTGAGTCATAAATCAAACAACAGTAGTGTCAAGCATTTCTTGTGCAAATTTTACCATTTTACAGGAATTCATAGGAAATAAATCTGTAATTGAGAACTTCAAAGGCAGCTTACTGAAAAATGAAGTGTAGAAACTGTTGGCACAGCAAGTCACTGCTGTCTGAAGGCAGGAGCCAGGATCCTTGGTACAACCCAAATAAGTGAGCTGTATCCCAGCAAGTTTAGCAGGAGGGTTCTGCTGTGTGTTTGTTCCCATGCTGTGTGCTCTGAGGGAGAACTGACCTGCTGCCCGTGAGCTGCACTATCACAGATGGGTGGTCCTGAGCCCCAGGAATCTGCTCCAGCTGGGCATGGGCTCCCATGATTTATACGGGTTGAAAGCCTTGACTGTAAAGCAAGGAATTCTAGCCTAAACAGTCCTTAACTCTTACTGTACCCCAGTTTAAGGAGGAAATCAGGCAACAAGTTAATAACAATGGGGGTTTGATAAACTAGTGAATTAGCATGGTGTTATTATTAGCTGGTAAATCTGCCAGCTTTAAAGTCTCAAATGTGCTTTAAGAGGATTTCTAACATCAGCCAACAGTTAACTAGAACTCAGCCTTCATAACAAAAAAATTAACTGGTACCAAAATAAAAGTGCACAGTACCAAATAAATGCTTTAAGTGAGATCTGTCTCCTACTTGGTAGACTCCTCTGTAATTTCTGCCACTGCATGTGGCAGAAAACATAAAATGGAACATAACAAACTCCTATGCAAACAGTTGTATTAGTGGTTAAGATACAGTGAAGTCAAAACACCACAATGAAGGTAGTTTCCCACATTTGGGAACACAACCCTTTGACAAAAAATATGCTTTGTCTATTTGAGATAAACTTTTAATGAACATTCTGATATAACTTTTTTAGAAACAATGCACTTAATTCTGTAGTTATGGAATAAAGCCTTACTTTATTTCTGTAGATTTAGCAGAGAAATGCTGTTAAATGGTGTTAAGACAGCCGTTCAAAATATAACATCAACCCAGGAAGTGGAGCACAGATTAAATAAAGATATTTTCTAATATTTGTGTTTGTTTTTACAGGCTATATTTGAACTTTCCCAGGGAGAAGAAGACTTGATAGAAGACCTGAAGTTGGCAAAAAAGGTATGCTTAAAAACCAAACCCAACAACCAAACCACAACAAAGAGTACTAAATGGTTAAGAACACATTTAAAACTTGTTTTTTTATACTTGCTAAGACAGCAAAAGAGGAAAAAATCCAAAGCATATTTCAATCTTCCCATTCTTTCTGAAACACTTAAGTGTGCTGTCTTTTTTTTTTTTTAATATGAAATTGATAGTTTAATCTATGGTTATGAAACTGACTTACAGGGAGCACTAAATTCTGTAATGAATTTTGCAACCAACAAACCACAAATGTTTGTTTTTCTTTTCAGGCTTATCATGACCCAATGCTTAAGCTTTCCATAATGACAGAGCAAGAATTGAACCAAATTTTTGGAACACTGGACTCTCTAATTCCTCTGCATGAAGGTAAAACTTAAATAGTCTTTGTGTGCATGAATATAGCACACAGATTTAAAGTCAGGTTTATCAAAGTGAGGTTTCTCTTCTTTTTTACTATTTACTCTCAGATCTTCTTAGGCGACTTCAAGAAGTCAGGAAACCTGATGGATCAACAGATTGTGTTGGCCACATCCTCGTGGGTTGGGTAAGACAGAGTTTATAATCAATTTTGGGACTTTGGTTTGGAGCTGTAGCGTAATTTTTCTCAGACAATTTCCTTTCTGTAACATGTCAAAAAGATATTCTCAAAGAAGTTTTAAAAGGTGAGGCAACTATTTAGAGACAGAACAGAGTATTTTCTCTTTTCAGGGACTTTCCATGAAAAGATTTAGATTGGGGTATTTTTTTTAAAGTTTGTGCTATTCAGGCGTTGAGCACTATTTAATATACTTTAAATAAAAATCAAGACTCAGACTAGAGTTTTTCTTAGGTAGGTCCTTTAAGAATCTCTCCGTTTCTGTTATGCTTTCCCTGGAAAGTCAGATAAGGATACAAGAGAGGTGCTGATGCCTCATAAAAGATAAAGTAGATAGGTTCGTGTTCACTAGCATCCAACAGCATAAACACTGAAAATAGCTTTTATTAGTTTTGTTGTTAGAATTGTTCATTGCAATCAAAAGGAGTTATTTTTGGTTTTAGATATGTGAGAAGTATGCTTTTTAGTAAATGTAAGTAGTAAAATTTAGCAGGGAAAAAAAGGCTTGAAATTTTAAGGAATTAGGTAATGATATTTAGCAGCTCTATGTGAAAGTGTGGCCTATGGTCAACAAGGGAAGCATTATATAGTGTACATAATGTAAATAATTAATGATAAAATATTTGTAAATGTCAAAATAATCTCAGTTTTCTTTGCATAAAATAATTTAAAATATATTTTCTGATGTGTGTTGAACATCAGTGAGCTTCTCTTGGTTCAAATCTATTCAAGTCTAATTTCCTTTTTTGAAAGGTTTTGCATATTCGGTGTTAATACAACAGGTTTAGTGAATGTATACATTTCTCTAATCAGCAGACAAGTTGTTTTGGTTTTCTTTTTCAGATTTATATATATAGTTTTGTCATCTTAGTTTGGTCAAGGTTCCTGAGGGCAATATAGAAGTTAGATTGTAGAAATTTGCTGATCTGAAAAAGACCAGGCTTGGGAATTCCTAGGCTTTTATTTCCATTCATAATTAAAGCCAGGCTTCTGTGTTCAAGTGTTGTCTGCACTAAATAGTGCTCAGTCTTCAGTAATTTATATTTTTAATGGAGATCTGCAGGACCTAAGTGATGAGTAAGTGCTTCTAAATTACTTAAATGTTGATCAAGGTGGTCTGAGAACCCTTGTAAAGGTTATATTTGTTGGAAACGTTACATCAATAAACTGTGGATAAATGTCCAGCTAAAAGAGTCTCAGCATGAATTCTGATGTCCTGCATCACCTGAACCTTTCAGTGCAGGAAATCGTGCTTTACTACAGCTACAGAATAATTTTTCTTTCCTCAGCTTCCATGCCTAAACTCCTACGACAGCTACTGCAGCAATCAAGTAGCAGCCAAAGCTTTATTGGATCACAAGAAACAAGATCACAGAGTGCAAGATTTCCTGCAGCGCTGCCTGGAGTCTCCTTTTAGCCGCAAGCTGGACCTTTGGAATTTCCTTGACATTCCCAGAAGCCGTTTGGTTAAATACCCACTACTGCTCAGAGAAATTTTAAGACACACACCAAATGATCATCCAGATCAACAGCATCTGGAAGAAGCTGTGAGTTACTGTTGGGTTTGGGTTTTTTTAGGAGATTATAGCAGTTTTTGCTTATTACTGAATTAAGGGAGACTACATAAAATATAAAAAAGCAAATATTTATATGAACAGCTGAATATTGGACTGTAATTAAATTCATGTGTTTTCATTGTGTTTCTGCAGATAAATATAATTCAGGGCATTGTGGCTGAAATCAACATAAAGACTGGTGAATCTGAATGCCAGTATTACAAAGAGAGACTTATTTATCTTGAAGAAGGCCAAAGGGATTCATTGATTGATAATTCACGTGCTGTGTGTTGTCATGGGGAACTGAAGAACAACAGGGGAGTGGTAAGGAATAAATATTTTGTCATAAATAACTTTAAAAGATAACTTCATTTTGCATGACAGCTAAAAGAGCTGTGAGCACACAGAGAGAAACATCACCCTTTAATATATAGGAAGTTGATAAATATTAATTATTATATATATAACATTAATCTTTTTTGTTAGTTGTTAAGTATCTGTATAGGGAGATCATAAGACTATATATATCTCTGTCTCTTATGGACCCTAACAATAATTAGGGAAAATTTATTTTACAAAGCAACAAAGTAAGCAGTGCATTTTTCATCTCCGGAATTGCTTCTATGGAGCATGTTTATGCAATACAGTGGAAGAGTCCTGTCTCACCACACAGCTGAGAGGGAAAGATGAAACAGGTGCTATTCCCTGGTTCACCTGATGAAGGTCAAGCAGGTAGTACAGTACCAAATTAGCAGGAAGAAACTGGCAATTTTCATCTTTCGGTGAACTTTATTTGTTCCATTTGGTTTAATGATGTTTCAGGAAAGGAATAATGCTGCATTATCTATTAATCTTTTAACAGAAACTGCACGTCTTCCTCTTTGAAGAGGTGCTGGTGATCACTCGGGCCGTGACCCACAATGACCATCTCTGCTACCAGCTGTACCGACAGCCAATTCCCATCAGGGAGCTGGTGCTGGAGGACCTGCAGGATGGAGAGGTGCGCCTGGGTGGATCCATACGTGGAGCATTCAGCAACAATGAGAGAAGTATGACAACAGCTTTTTGTATTTGCTCATGTAGGGTCATCATAACTTTAAGATACCTGCCAATGCAACATCAGAATGTTCTCTCTAAAATTAACATTAGCTCCATCCAACATATTGAATTTTGTTTCAGACTGGTTTATTATGTTCTAAGTTGTTTCTTTTCAATTCTTTCTCAAATCTCACTATATTAATAATAGAATTTTTCCACACACCTACTCCTGTACTGAATTGAGAAGGGGAGAACATACAGATTGTAGTGGCAAAACTGCAAAGTTAGCAAGTGTATTTTGAAATCTTGAGCTTCAGCTGTTTTGCCTTTCCTTGTACTGGAGACATTGGTTGCTATTCTGTAATTCTTTAAGCTGGCAGACAGTGTAGTACTCAGGGTCAAGACTGCAGCTATTCATGTTTATGTCTTTCCGGTTAAGTATATTATGAAGATGCTTTTTTTATTACAAGGGTCCTTTAAATATCTTCTGGTCAAAACTTCAAGGGGTTTTTGTATGTATCCACTGTATTAGTGAAGTGAATGGAAGAGATGAGGCAGATTTGGCTGGCACAAGGGTGCTGCGTTCAGTGAAAGTTCTGGAAATCTGCTTTGCAGAGAAGTAGAATGAGAGGCATTAAAGTGTGGGAGAAGCCTTAATCTTGCTGATTCCCTTTAAGCTTTGTGGTTAGCTCATGCACAGCAGAACCAAAATTACTTAATCAAGCAATATGAAGTTACTAGAAGTGCTTGCGGTGTTCTGTGGTCTTCTCTCAGAAACAAGGAGACGCCCAGACTCTTCTCTTTGGTCTGACCTTAAGGCAAAGATTGTGCAGATTCTGTTACTTAAATATATTCTTTGATTATAAAATCCATTCAGCCAAAGCATTCAGGGGTTTTATATGTATTGTTTCTTTCAGTCAAAAACTTCTTTAGAGTCAGCTTCCAAAACGGATCCCAAAGCCAGACTCACTCTCTCCAAGCCAATGACTCCTTCAACAAGCAGCAGTGGCTAAACTGCATCCGCCAGGCCAAGGAAAAGGCTGCGTGTGCAGGCAAGGCTGGTGGGCTGGAAGCACATTTCCTTGTGTCACCCAATGGACGCAGAGTGCCCCAGGGAGAGGCTGCCCTGGAGCAGATGGAGCAGTCGGACTGTGAGTCAGACTGTAGCATGGACACCAGCGAGCTCAATGCCGACTGCGAGCGCATGGAGCAGACGAACTCTTGTGAGAGCGAAAAGCAAATAGAAACCAATGTTTGACAAAAGCTTACAGTTCCTGGAAGAAAATCTGTCTCTTACCTGTACAGTATTTGCATTCCATACATGGAACCATTTGGAGAAGCACTTTTAGAATATTTTTTGTGACAATGTCAATGCAGTTCTTGTATTAATACCTGTGAGTGTCGTACTGTAACTGCCCATCTGTATAAGCTGGAATCTCTTGCGACTCATGTCCTGTGATTATATTCCATGAACACCCAAGGTGGATGAAAGAGGTACTTGACCAGTTATTCTCAATGTCCTGCTGTAAACAGAATTTCTGAACTACTATTTATATATGCATTACATAAATAACCTTTTCCTTATATTTAAGTATTTAATTTGCCCTTTAAAGGGGCAGCTGAAGATGTGGACTTAATATGGAATTTCAGGATGGGTATCAAGATAATAAGTTTTCTTAAAGGCATGGAAAGAAAAAGTAGTTTCTTGGAACAGGAAAGAAAACTATCTTGTAATAACCTACCCAAACTCCTGTGGTATTAAATCAGCAAGAACTATAAACAGCGGGCCTTGGAACCAGGGACTCTTTAGGGATTTGTTTTTCAAAATGAAGCACTGTCCTAAGATCCAGCAGCCAAACTTACTAAAATATGGACATTTCAAATGGTCAGCATAGTAAGATGGTTTATTTTTCAAAGCATGTAATGCTAAAAATAATCAACTGAAAAGACCACAACCAAACCTTTACAGCCAGCACTGAATTAAATGAAATGCTGAGAATACTGGATGTTTGTAAATAAGCTGGTAATTTGCTTTCAGTGCCATGTATATATATATATATATTATAATATATATATATTATCCCAAACAGTAAGAATGGAAAGGAGCTTTTGCTTGTGAATAGGCCCTCTTCAGCATTTTGCACTCCACTGACCTCCACTGTTGGTTTTAAGCACCACTAATGTTAAAACTTTTAATTTTCTGTAAATGTCTGTTTACAATTACATGTAGTTGGTTTTTAAAACTAAGTGATGATTTTATATAAATGGTGCTCTACAAATACCCTGTGGGATTATGTAGAGAGTTTAAACAAAAAGGGAATTGTTTGTCCTTTAGGATATATTACATCCTTTTTACTTTCCTCAAGTTTTGTTTTAAAAGTTTTTGTTGCATTTAATTTCGTACTGTAATTGGAAGTGTTACTGTGTTTTCTGGTGGCTGATTTAACCTACTCATAATGATGAGAAGCAGATGAGTCACTTAAATGCAGTCTAAAACACATAGTTGAACATCCTGTTATTTTTCAGGAATCCCTGGGTAGTATTTTATTTCTTACTGTAACAAAGAATGCCAGTGGTGTTTGGTAAGCTATGAAAATGATATATTACAAATTTTAAATGATTCTTGGTATTACACAAGATAACCTGTGCAAAGTACTTGTAACAACAAAAGTAGAAAAACTGCTAAGTTATTGCCAAAAATAATTTTTCTTGTGTTCTACAAGTTTACATAAAATTTACTAAGTATCTTACATATATATATATGCTGATGTGCATTACAGAAATCAGTGTGACAAGATGATAAACAATATAAAACAAGGTATTTTTATTTTTTAAAAAAATGGCATTTTTACCCTATAGAACATATTTCTGTATTTATAGTTTTTAAAAAAAAAATCAATTTTCTTTTCTGTTTCAGGCATTGTAATTTATTTCAACTGCTTCATTTTTAGAGCTGAAAAAATATACCAGTGAAGATGAAAGGAAAAATCTGCAAAGAAAAGGCATAGGGAAGTTGTTCAGCAAAAATGTTGAAAAAAAGAGTAAAAAGCATGTAAAATGTTCAGATAGAGAAGAAGGAATGAATGAATGTGTATTGACTTTTTTTTTTTTTTTTTTTTAATAATGGCCTTGAACTTTTCTGGAAGCATTTCAAATAAATTACATTAAACCATTTTGATTTTTATTTGGTTTGGTTGGTTGTACAAGAAGACTACAAAAAGATTTCAGTGGTACATGCAGTGAGGTTTTAACCGAAGTGACCAAAGCCTGTATTTTGTTTCTTATAAAGTGTTATATACTTGCATCTAATTTGCTAAATGCACAGTAATAACAGAAACAAGTCATTGCACTCAATTCACCACATTCCCCAAAGTTCTGTATGACATAATTACTTTAGGAAATATGTGGAACAAAAATTTACTGTCCTGTCATCAGTTTCTCCCTCATAATTCCTTGTGGGTCACAACTGAAATGTTTAATTTTGGGGTATGCAGAAGCCACCAACCAGCCAGGAAATCTCAGAAGATTAATTTACATTTGTTTACTGTAATTCACTGTTCAGCATTCTGGAGTGCAAGTGTTTTGGTTGTGCTTTGTAGTTGACATGCACTTAACTACTGATTGATCTAATAAATCCTAATGATGTTGGGGTTTTCTCTTCAAATCACCCTAAGGATTAAGCTTTCCAGTTTAAGAGTACTGCTATCATGCTGGATTTGGTAAGCTTGTTTTAGTTCTAGCACTTTTAAAATGCCACTGCTTTTGAAAGGATGACTTTTGACTGTGGCAGGAAGGTGGTGGTGGAGGGATGGGGTGGAGTTGGACAATAAATTGTACCAAAAGGGATGGGTAAAATGTAAAATTATGAGTGTGAATTATAAAGAGGAAATACAAAATAATACATATATATATAATATATATATGTTATATATTTAAATATATATATAATTTTAATATATATATATATTATGTATAAGTATAATTTATAAAGAGGAAGAATCATAGATATGAATATGTTCAAATGATTGTCACAGTAATTCTGGTGTCCAGAGGGGAGTCTGAGAGGTTGCAGCAGAGGCAAGAGGCAAAGCCTGAGGTGTCAAGTGCTTCCAGGATTACCTTGAGGAGGTGGCACAATGAGAGGGATGGAGACACTCATCCAAATCTGAGGCATGAACACTCTGGATCTCACACTCGGGGAAAAGAGGGTGAGTGACGAGGTGTCCTGCTCTCAAGAGCAGGATGTCAGTGGTCTGAGGGGGCAGATCCATCCCTTTGTGGCAAATCATAGCAACCTGTCAGCTCTTCTGCTCCTGCTGAGGAGAGTCAGCTGCAGCTTATGAAAGACCTGATGGACCAGAAGCAATAAATGTGAAAGCAGAAATTGTGACTGAGAAAGAAAGGTGAGCAAAGTGAATGGCCTTGTGACCCTCTGAACTGTGTGGGTCCTCTGAGACTACAACACAAAATTGAACTGTCTGTGGCCTTTGTTTTCCTAGATTTGCTCTGCAGCACTGAAAAGAACAAAGCCAGGGAACATGAAGATCTGTAATGAACAACAGGTTTGAGATCCATGAAGCTCAGTTGCTATTAAGCATGACTCACCTGAACCAGGGCTTCTGCCTTAGGAATGCTTCTGTGACAGTGGGAACCAGGTTGCTTGAAATTTCACAGAATTTCTAGAATTTGAAAGCTGTATCAGAGCTTTCAGATAGCAGTTTAATGGATTGTACTTTTTGATAAAAATTATATTTTATGGTGACACAGTCTGGCACTTAGACAAATCTTGATTCCCAGGATCTAACAGAGTCTGAAACCAAGTTACACATATATGGAAGTTTATTTGTTTCCTTTTAAAAGGGGGTTTCAGATATAGAATGGGCAGCTCTTCCATATTTAGTACTTATTTATGAATACTGATTTTAAAATACTGTAACATGTTCTACAGGTTGGTGCTGCCATCTGTTGGAAATAATGCTGTAGTTTCATGGCTGATCTGATTTGATTACACAAAATTTTAAATATTTTAAGATATTACATGTATTAATTAAAATTAATTAAAGTATTATTAATTATTATTAATTAAATTATATTAAAGTATTAAAAAATACATGTAAGTATTTTCAGTCTTTTACCTGAGGATCATGTATTTGTTAGGAAAAAAAAAAGTACTATGTGAACTTCTGCTACTAATTTCTGGTTTTACAGAGCCAGGTCAAGACTACTGCCCCATTTTGTCTCACCTTTTAATATAGGCATATTTTCTCCATGGCTGGTATATGATAGTAAAGCTCTTTCCAAGTGTGTAGATTAAGTTTTATTTCTGAGTTTTCCAAAGGTTCTTCTCTTTGCATGGTCTAGGAAGAAAGATTAATTATAGTTATTCTATCCTTGATCTCCTGGCACCTGAACTTTGGTTGGCACAAATTAGCTCTTAAACTTTTGAAGAAATTAGATGTGTTTTGCATCATTAGAGTAATAAGGGAAAGTAAAATAGTAATTTGTGGTTATTTAAATTGTAACAGTATACTCTGACTAATTTCAAATTTCTAATTTAGTTTTCAAATTTTTACATTTGCATTCATAAAAGTCTACTGAAGCAATGTCTGGAGGAAGCACACAAGTTTGCTCCTTGAGCATGCAACCCTCCCTTGTGTCTTTGTGGTTCTGAATATGATCTAAATCTATATTACTAATGTGTTAAAATCATCTGATTTCAGAATCAAAGGGATTTGCAGCTGCTTTTTACTGGGGTGGAAAACCACTTGGTGCAAGCCCAGGAATCATGGTCGAATGCTTGGCAAGTACCAAACACCACAGAAACCAGAAACGAGAGAGAGAATAAGGTGACAGATTTTATAACCTTTTTTTTTTCCCTTGAGAGTATTCAAGTAACCTCTTCCTATGGTGTTTTTTGCTGAACCGTCATTCTGTGAACTGGGATTTGTACATTTTTGATATCTATTGGGATTTAAGATGCACAGTGTGGTGCAGTGATCTGGAATTGCTGGAGAATATATCAATTAATACTGAGTAATTTTTGTGATGATCTCTCCCAGACTTAGGTAATTAATACAGAAAAATAATTCTGTACAACTGCAAAGACATATCTTGTTAAAGCAAGTGATGAGGAAAACTTGGTGTGCTGGTTGGTAAATAAGCAAGACTTCAGAGATTGTTTGATCCAAACACCAGTCAATTGAACTGCTTGTGTACCGCAGACATGCACAAGCTGAAAGTGATTTTAAAAGCTCTACCAATTCAAAATTGATAAAGCAATTTGACATGGTTGGAGATATATAATGGATCAACACGGCCTTAGATGGGACCAGATTGGTATTTCCATTTTTTCTTGTATACGGAAATTCTATTTAAACAATGTAAAACACAGCAGAATTATTTCAATATATCAACACACCTGTAATATGCTTCACCAGCATTGAATTCTCACAGAGACCAAACATCAGATTCTCAGACATCGTATTCTCAGGGAGACAGTCTTAATTTATCCACAGGATGAACACCCTATTTGTGGGGTTTATTACCTCTAGATAATGGAACACCATGTTTCTGCAGTTAGATAAATATTGGGTGTTATGTTTCTGTAATTTATGTAAATTATAGTTACAGATACTAATTTACCTGTTTAGACTTGCTGGGTCCCCAAACACTTCTAAGAACTACTAATAATTATTAGCTTATCTTCTTTTAATACCCTGGAGGCTACCAGGCCATTTGTGAACAGATAGGTTATTTATATTTTCTGATTTACAGCTGAACTAAAAAGAGATTAATAAAATAAACGGGCCAGATTAAAATGCCTGTTCTTTGCACATCTTGCAAGCATGAAAACTTCCTATTTTTAAGGTCAGTGGCTGCTTTCAAGGTGACATATGTATGGCTACACTTCTGAGGATTGAAGGTAATTGGTGTAAGTAGCTAAGGAATCTGTTCAACAACTACAGCGCTTGTATACTTTTAACGAAGAAAACAAATGATGGGCTTTTAATGTTTTGCTAGTTACTTATAAAACTAAAATCCTGTATTTGCATTTTGTAGTCACTGCAAGAATGGCTATTTTCAGCAGGCACTGTTCACCTCCGTGCATTCCCGGGAGCTGCCGAAGATAGCTCTTTGCTTTGGCTTTCACATTTTCGCATCCTTCTTGCACCAAAAATTGTGAGCCTTACAGGGACACTAAGTGTTCATTTTCTGGCCTCCAATATAGGTTATTCACTATGCAACTATGAAAGAATCCTGCTGAAGTAAATGAAGATTTTTTTTCTTTTGCCTTTCATTCATAACCAAAATATGTATTTTTATTCTTCAAACGTGAAATGTTGTAATTTTGTCCAATGCCTTGGAAAAAACCTTTGAATCTAAGAGTAAGAAGTACACGCTAGCACTCGATGCAGTGAACTTGTAGTTAAGAGTTGGGAGTTCGCAAAGAACGCTGTGCCAACCCTGGAGGCGGAGCGCTCCTGGACCCGAAATGCCCAAAGGGAGAGCCCGTTCCCGAGCGCCGTGCCCCGGCCGCAGGGCGGGAGCCTTGTGCCGGCTGCGGCCTTCCCGGGACAGCGGTGTCCCCTCAGGGCAGCGCTCCTGCCCCGCTCCCCCTCACCCGGCCTCGGAGGAGGTGCCGCCGCTTGGCGGGAGGGCGGCGGGTCCCGAGCGGTGCCCGGGGACGGGAGCAGCGAGTCCCGAGCGGTGCACGGGGGCGGGAGGGGCGGGTCCCGAACGGTTGCCGGTTTGTGGGAGCGGTGCTGGTTGACGGGAGCGGCGGGTGGGGAGGGGTGCCGGTTTGTGGGAGCGGCGGGTCCCGAACGGTGCCGGTTTGTGGGAGCGAGGCCCATTGACGGGAGCGACCCCATCCCGCCCTATCGCGTGGGCCCCGGCCGCGCCCTTATTTATAACGTGTGCTGTGAGCTGATTGACTGGGCCGGGCCAGCCGCAGCCCCGCCCCGCGCCGCCGCCATGTTGTGTGGTGGGGCGGGGGTGGCGCGGGGGCCGTCGTGAGGCGGGCGGAGGGGGAGTCGAGGCGGTGCGGGCGCTGCTGGCGCTAGGCAGGGGCGCTCTACTGGGGAGAAGAGAAGGCGCGAGCTGCCGGGCTCGCTTCTCCGGAGGGAATGGCGGATGCCGTGATCCGCAGTGGCGGCGAGATAGAGCCGGAGCAGCATCAGCGGACGGAGAAGACCAGCGCGGGCGTCCTCGGAGCTGAGAGTAACAGAGTAGGAGCCGCTGAGGACACCACACAAAATGGCGGACGCTCTGAGAGCGGTAGCGATGGGGAGGCGCTGCTTGGGGCTGCTGTTGCTGCAGAGGACAAGGTCCCCACAAACCTCCTCAGCATCAGTAGCAGTAGCCAGCACAGGAGCAGCATCTCGACGGCAAATGAACAGCAGCAGCAGCCGCCCAGCGGTGTATTCGGGGGGCCGCCCCCTCTCCCTAAGCCCCCAGAAGACCAGCAGCCTTTTAGGAGGAATTTTCACATCCCCAGGAAGAGCAGAGAAAAGAAAGGTTGTTCCTTCCCTTCCCCTCCCTTTTCTACCTCGCTCCCTTATCCATCTGATTCATCAGGCAGCTCTCAGACACCTCACACGGCTGCATGCAAACCCTGCGGTGTGGAGGAGGCTCTGCTGGCTCTCACTTGCGAGGCTGATGGGGAGCCGATTTTAGTGTCAGGCTTTTACATTCTTTCCCTACCCCTTTTCTTTCCTTTCTCACTTTTATTTTCTCACGAGGATGAAACAAAACCAAAACAAAAACTCGGCTTGAATTTCAGACCTCTGCTTTAAAACGAGGAGAAGCTGGATGCAATCAGGGTGGGCTTGAGTTGATCTCAGCTCTGCTTCTGGAGGTGCATTCGCATGTGGAGAAGATGTTTCTTTGAGACACCGACATCAGCGAAGATGATTCGCTTTTCTCTTCCCCCTGACCTCCTCCGTGCAGGAGAGGGGCGTAATTCTGGTTAGGACAGACAAAGCAAACACAGCAGAGTTATCCTTCATTGATGATACCCAGAAGACTCCTTCTTATCTGGTGAAAGTTCTTTGCAGGGATGAAGGGAGCATCCCACGTTCTCGTGCCTCGCTTTGGAAGCGTTCTGCTTCCAAATATCCAGGGTTTTTTTTTAGTAACTCTTCCTTTAAAAGCCTGTGGTATTTCTTGCTTTTCACAAAACTCCACTGGTTTCTGCTTCACTTGGTTTTTGTTAAGTGGAGTTGAAGACATGTCTGATTTCCTCCCTGAAGTTTCTTAGTTCTTGGCCTTTTGCAATATGGAGTCAGTAACTTAGTCCATGTCACAGAAATACTTGTTTGAATAGGCTTGTTCTTCAGAGAAGAGAGTAACATCTTCTTGAAATGCTTTCTTCTGTAAGGAAGAGATGAAGGTAGGTTTATTTCATTATCCAGTCTTTTCTTTCCAGTAATAAAATAATTCCTTTTGGCAGTAATGACCCCTTTTTCTTCCTGGTCTTTGCTGTTACCACCCTGCTCTGGGGTGATACAAGTCTGGCAGAGATTCATTGTAAAAAGAACTGGGTTGATTTGGAGAAAAAATCTTTTATAATTCATCTGACAGAAAAATACCTGGTGCCTCATGAATAACTGAAGTGTCTTGTATGTCACACCCAAGTGTGGTTACATGTGAATACCTTTAAATGTATTTCAGAAATGTTTAGTACTTAATCAACGATATTAGAAGTTCTTCTTTATCATTTAGTTCTAATGTGAATGAAAGCCTGCAAAATACCTTTTCAGGTCCTCTGATTCATCATTTGCCTATGCAGAACCATCTGCAATGTGCAAGAAGTTTTGGATTGTATAGTTCATACCTCAGGCTTCTGTGGCCTCTAAGGTAGAAGACGAAGCCATTCTTACCTTACTTCAAAAACTGACTTGCTAATGTCAAGGGCATTTGATCTGTTCTTAACCTTTTTTCCTTTCGGCCTGTAGGAAGGCTCTCGGGTATTTCGATCATTCTGATGACTTAGAGCTTCCAAAGCTCTCAAAGCAGACCCTGCTCCATTCAGCCCACGGTGCCTGTGGGATTACAGCTGCTGAGTGTTGTTCTCAACAGCATGGACTGCCAAATGTGCAGTTTGAGGACAACCAAATTGATATTGGGGTTTGTATTGAAAAATGATGCAATTCAGTCAGTTCTGGAATTGAACTGGAAGATCAGCACTGTATGGATCATCTGATGATGAAGTGGCACGTGCTTGCAACATCTTTATTGCTAGTGCTTAAATACATCATGTTAAATTGCAGAATAATCTGAATGTCACCAGTCCCTCTGAAAAGAGCTCTCTTGGCTTGATTCTAAGGCCCAGCATGAAGCAATACACATGGAAGCTTTCACCATCATTCCTTGCCTTAGAGTTGTCCTTGTTTTGCTTTTTAAACCACCATTTCTTTCCTGGACATACCATCCTGAGAGAGAGCTGCTGCCTTGATTGTGAAGTCTTAGTTGCTATGTACAAAGTATGTACAGGATGACTTTGTCAGAGGTGTTCGAGTTTGTTCGGAGGTTGGTTGTTTAGGTGGATTTTTTAATTTTTTTACACCAAAATGTGTTTCAGGAACAATTTTTGGTAACTAAGCAATTAAAAATTGAATCTTAAAAGCACAAATGTAAGAGAAAATTTAAGCTTTAGCTTCCAAAATGTAAGAGAAATATCCTAGAAAATTTAGGCTTTGGTTGCTTGTTTATCTTACTCAGAATTTATGTCTCCTCTTGAATACTTAAAGTAGGGACTGAAGGTCAACAGAAATTCTTTGTAATCTGAAGAAATGTGTTTGGAGGAAGGATGCCTCTTAAAAACAACTGTGGTCAGTTGGCATAGAGAATACTTCTTCTGATTTCCTCATTCTTTTTCCTGGCATAGGAATTCAGGAAACAAACAAAAGGTTGGCTGCAACATTATTTTTTTAAGGTGTGTCTGCATTTGTCTTCTGCCTTAGAAGTCTCTTGAAGGTTTGTTTTCTTGGTACATAGAGTTTAGCAATGGTGTTATGATGCTTTCTTGAGCAGCTTATCTACCATTGGTAGAGGTTGTCCTGGCCTCTTACTCAGTTGTCAGATCTTGAGAGGTTTCCAAGTTGGCTTGAAACTTGAGAGGTCCTTGATAGGATTAGGAAGGCAAATTTAAGGATAAAGCAGTGTAAGAACACTTCTAACTTGATGAACTGTGTGAGTGATCCCCTTACCAAAAGATAATTCCAGCAATGATGCTGACATTGCAGTCAGTGCCTTTAAGGGGTTGCTTGTTGATTAAAGCTGGATGTTTATTTCTGGAGTCTGTCTAAGTAGCAAATGACTGCTGTTTCTCAGGCTGAGTCAGGGAAAAAGGTCTTGCTTATACCTGTTAAACTCTCAGCAATACTTGCATGAAGGTCCAGGTTGGCCCTTTTCTACTTCATCATTTTGCCTTGTCTTTTGTCTCCTAACTTTCCTTTTCTTTGGTAGAGATGTGCATCTGCTATTTGCTACAGGGTATTTCTAGGTGGAGAACTTGCTCAGTTGCTGAACTTGGTAACTATTTAGGCCATTTGAGAGCACAAGACATTTTGGGCTGAAAAAGTCCTAAGGGTAAAAATGTCACAGTTCATGAAAATCACGGATTTTTTATCTTGCTCTTAAAAAATGAAGACTGAAAAAAATGAAGATTTTAAAGGGCGCTTCTCAATGAAGCTTTTGTAGCAGGAGCACGTGCGTGTGAAGAATGCTATCATTCTGCCAACTTAGCTGATAAGAAAATCAGTTATTTATTTATCTTCACTTTAAACTTTGTTCAGGATTGCTCAAGGAGGACGGCTCTGTCTTCATATTCTGACTTAAAGCAACCAAAGACAGTAACTCCAGTCTCAGTTTCCTGAAGTTGAAACATCAGACAGCTGTGAAAGAAAAAGTAGAGCCTCTCAGGCATGACATACATCCAAGCATCCAGTCCAGTCCCTGTCCCTTGACTAGTACTTACTAGCTAAACTCAATTTCCACTTAAAAATAATTATATATGTTCCAGTGCCCTGGATAGAAGCTGAACAAACCCCATATTTATATACTTATTTTTATCTATGTAGAACAAGCCACAACAATAGATTTGTATTATAAGGATGCTGCAGGTTAGTCCTTACTTTAATTACTGTTTAATTAACACAGGACAGTAAAGGTTCAGCATAGCCCCATCAGCTTTGTACAGCAAGCCTGGAAGATCTGTACATGCACATGGCTGGTCTTTGAAGTGATGGAGGACTGCAGATGAGCTCAGTAATTTCATGGTTTGCCTGGGAGCACAGGCCTTGCTGACTGCTGTACAAGATCTAGTTTAGTACTTGGTTTTGTTTTAATTCTGTCATCTTACTGCACTCCTTCCTTGAAGTGAAGTACAGGCCCTGCTATGGTGACATTATTGTTTTAGACCATCACTGTCCTTGAACACCACAGCTCAAGTGACAAAGTGAAAAGTACTGCCTGTCTCCTCATCTCACTGGGGTAGTGTTTCATGTTTTAATTGAGAACATGAAGTCTGCAGTGCCTCGTGTTATGGAAGAAAAAAACTGCAACAATCTTAAAAAAAAATCTTATTTTCTATTTTCCATAATTTAATGATTAGGTAGGGCTTTTCCATAAATGTGTTGTTAACTAAGTGTATACTAGTTTGTGCAGGTTCTTTCTACCAGGAGAATAGGGGGACTTGCTGATTTAGGGCAAGTCTGTCTCAGCTTGCTCCCCAGAGCTTTCCACGGAGCAGAAAATGTTTAAACACAAATAGGAACGTGGTTGATAATATTTGCATGTATGGCAGGATCTTAATTCATGTAATACCGTACCTCTTCCTAGATTTGCATCTGGGAAAGTAGGTGAGACATTATGTATGGTTTGTGGTAGCTCTTTCTAGCTCAACCTGCAATGCTTTCCACTTGTTTGGAGATGGGAATAAGAGGCTGATTTTTACTGAGCTTGTGTCCTGGGAGAAGGAGGGAGAAGGGATAAGATACAGTAAACACTAAGAAAACAGGAAATTTGGTCAAGCAACTGGCACAGATAACCTTCTGCCTTAACTGGCCCTTTTTGAGACTCTGATAGTGTGTGAACCCCAGATCTTTCTGACAGGGAGTTAGTGTCGTAGTGTCCAAGGGATGTTTGGGGTGAAGCAGGGCATGTGTACCTGCAGCAGGCTTGTTTCCTATTCTATTAATAAGAATTTATCTCTTCAGTACAAGAGCGTTCAGTCCCAGTAATACTGAGAATTCTATTCACTCTCAATTCTGTCTCCTCATACACTGCTATCGGCTTTTCGGTATCATTACTAAAAAGGATTTTACATAAGTACGGTTTCTAAATGATTTTCGTAACTTCCACAGTTAAAAAATTGCTTTCTCATTGGTGGTGGTGTTGGAATCATTGTTTGAGTTCAGTTTGCAGATGTGGTATTGCTTTCAAAGGTGTGCAGCTTTTACTAGATAACAGAACAGTTCAGTATTCATTAGGAACATTTGTTTTATATTGAGGCTTATGCAGTAAATTTTTGCAAATGAGGGAAAGATTTCTGCCTAAATCTACTGCCATATTATTTAATGAAATTGGAGAATATACTCTTGATGTAATTACTCTAAGATGTAATTAAATTTAATTTGTTGTTAGACAAAACAGAGTATTTGAGTATTGGTAGATTTTTTTGGTGAGACTAGTACTGTTGTTGTTCTTCCTAGCTGTTTTAACTACAGTAAAAATCCTGCACTTTTGGTGTGCGTTTCGGAAGTTACTTGGAGAATAAAAACCACTTTTTGTATTGTAGTTCAGTTCTCCCAGAGATGTTATTTTCCTGGCCACTGCCCTCAAAACCTGTGGTGCCATCCTCTGCTGGCTCACTCTGAGGTTGCTCCCGTGATCAGTTTGTCGCCTTGGCACCCAAACACAGATAGGAAGCTCAGGGACATGACTGCTTCACTGTGGGAACTCGGGCAAAGGTTTGCCCAGGAGGGAATTGGTACAACAGCACATGAAGGGCTTTCCTTTTAAAGCAGGTATCGTAAGGGATGACATCATCAAGCATGAACACAGGCAGTGGGGCTTTTTAATAATAGGAGCTTATCTGTCTTTAAATAGGATTGGGTTTCTTCATATTCAGCTTAATTCCCATTAGCAAACAAACACAAAACCTCATAATAGTTCTGAAGCGAGGCCAAGCTATGAAACTCTTGTTGAGCTTTTTATTGGGACAATTTGTTCCTGCTTCTTAATTAAAAGAATTAATTAATAAATTACAGTTCTGAAAGTTTAATTATAGTGTTTTGCAGTACATATTAGATATTTTTCAAGAGGTAAATTCAGATTTGAGGTGCTTCCCTTACAAACTTCTGAGAACTAGTAGCTGTTCAAGAGTAATATTAAAACCATAAATGTGATTTTTTAAAAGATGCTATCATTCTAGGAATTTTTAAGGTAAACTTTCTAAAGTCCACATTTGCCAAGTATTGTAGGTGTTTTGTATTTGAAATTGAATCAAAAACCATTTATCTTCATGCACAAACTCTCAGTGAAGTGGAAAATTTTGGATGTCTTTACATTTGTATTGGTGCTAATTATTTCTTCTCTTTATAGCACTCTTTCAGCCAGTACTTCCAGGTTCTCGAGAATTTGAGGACATTTTGAAGATTCTGCATTCTTCCTACTTGGATCCAAATTCAGTGTCCAAGTTTAAATACGAGAGAGCCAGCTTAGTTCATAGTGAACTGTTGGAAAAGGAAGTGAGTATGTTTGTGTCTTCTGCTTCTCAATAAGGTACCAGTCAAATGACAGTGCTTCTTCTCAATCTAGAGGCAGAGAACTGGGCATTATTTTCAGTTATGTGGTTGTCTTTAATTGCAAACTCACATCCCCAGAAATGTAAGCAGCTGTTTTTCAGGCAAGTTTATTACTGCATAGTTTTAAACTCTTGCCTGCCAGATACTCCAAGAAGACTAAAAGAAAAATAGTATTTGGCACCCCTTAAATCTGTGTTTTTAGCTTTCAAAAGGCTTCTTAATTTTTATTAATGTATTTTAATAACCTGAAAAGATGTTGTAATGTCTTTACAAGGCTGATGTTTCCTGTGAAAATTAAGATTAAACTATGTGCCTGATATAAGTTTCCATAATCTCTGTAGTTTTATTGTTTTCCAAAGATGTACTTTAACTAAAGTTGATTACTGATCTAGTAAGTGGAGCACCTTGGTTGAAGCCCTTCTGTTGTGGCTTGTGTAGTGTCTCTTAAATCCAGCCTTGGCTTATTCTTATCACTCTCAAATGAAGTTTTCATTCCCAGTGCCAAAAAGCTTCACATATGAAGTAATTGAATATATAATTTGTTGTGTTTATCAGCTTGAAGTTATAAACTAAACTGAAGCATTTTCTGCCATCACATTAATTGTTCTTGGTTACAGCTGAGAAATATTGGTAAAAACCACCTCAGCAGCAGTGAGGTGCATCTGAAAAAATATCTGCACAGTGTACGAGATCTGTCTTCTAAAAAGAGAAAAAGTCTTATTTCAAAGAGTTTCAAAGACAATATGGGAGGCATTGGGCTGGGTGGTTCTAGCCGGTTCTGCTACAATGATCAAACTGAAGCATTACTGCACAGGTTTGTTTGAGGAGTGTCTCTTAAAAAAACCCAAATACTTGGGCAGATTAAGCTAATTAGATTTCCCACAAATATAATGTTTTTGAAATCTAATTATAGCATCCAGTGATTTAATTTGGGTTATCTTTTGATTATTTTTCTACACTTGGTTCTGCTAACATAGATGGGGCCTTAAAACATTGGCACTTGACTGTGGCAGCAGCAGTGTGTGTACCTGTGTTGAGAACTTTCTCTATGAACAGTTCACAGAAAAACGCAGAGAGCTGAGATACGATGGGCGCCTGGAGAAGGAGCTCTCGGAAAGTTACGCATTCCTCATGGTGGATCGGTGCCAGGTGAGGAATGAAACACTGCAGGGAAGATGCTTTCTTCAGCAATTAAGAGGCTTTGGGACTTTGGGTTTTTTTCAGAGTGTTTTTATTGACACAATCTTTAAGTTACTTTTGCATAATTCAGCACTGGAAGGTGTAGAAGGATGGGAAAGAGATCTGATATATCACCGTTTAAATCCTCTATTCCCTGCTACTTAAGGTACTCCATTTACGTGTCTCTATATCTTCTCTGGTTTAGGCTCTGTTTTATAAATAAAATGATAGATTTTCTGGATGGCATGTAAGTTTTTATTTAGTTTGTGTTTGGTTTTTTTTAATTGAGGAGGATTTTTTTGTGTTTTTAATTGCATTTGGGTTTTGGTGGTTTTTTAGGTGTTTTGTGGTTTGGTTTTTTTTTTGCATCACCAAGATAACCTGTAATATTAGAAAGTGAACATTGTCTTCTCTGTGTCTTCTTTGATCACATACTTTTAATCAAAGTGATAGAAAGGTGATTTCTGTGCTTTTATCTGCTATTATAGACTCAAGATTGCTTAAGCATGTAATCATTTGACAGGTATACTTCTGTTTTAAATATTAGAATTTTCTGTATTAAGGGCAAGAAATGTTCATAAACAGTGTTTGAGGTATAGGGAGGCTGTGTTTTTTTAAGATACAGGTGAGTCTATGTAGTTATTCTATATCAGAGTTTGATTTGCACAGTTTAATAGTTTTATAGAGAATTCAGACTAGGCTTGCCTCTGTTTGTAAGGGTTGGGATTTTGTTTAAATCTCAATTTAAATTCTGTAATTGTAATTTCTCACTGTTTGTTCTGTTCATATCCTGGCTTTCCTAACAGACTTGCTTAAAAAACTGTCTTCTCTTTAGATCCAGAGCATATGTGAAAAGGGGCTGCAGGTTGGCCACTCCAGCATCACAGTTCTCGGCAAACCTTCCATGGGTAACTATCTTTTGATTATAAGGGCTGGTTATTCAGTAGCAGTTGGTAGACAATGTGTTGTAGTTGTGTGAACTTTCAGTCCTTTTTCTATCACTGACTGCAGCAATATCACAGCAAGATGTTTTAGCAAAGGAAATAGACGTCAGAACATTATTTCCTAGCTCTGTTTTTGAGTAGTTCAGCTTCCCGAAGGAAAGACCTAATTCTCGTTTTGGCTTTAAGTCAAACCCATATCCCATGTCTTTCCAGTAAACCTGGGGGGCCAAAGAGCTAATGCAGCATGTGGCTGGCTGCCTCTGTGTTTGTCTGTAGGTATGTCCATTCAGGGATACCTCATGGACACAGTAGCTCAGCTCAGTTTTGACATAGATGGAACTAAAATTCTTGAAACCATGAATCCAAGAAGAGTGTAGATAAATTGGAGACTTAGAAGAGTCACAAGGTGTTAAAGAATTTTGAGACTGCAAGACAGTAAGTTCCTTTTGCAAAGCTTTTCAAATAGAAAGTGAGGAGCTGATTTTGTCATCCTGTGTAAGAGGAACATGGTACAGAGGTATCATGAATATTGGAAGCAGACAGTATGGATGTGAATGAATATCGACATGAATACTGAAAGCAGAAATACGTGTGTAGAAGAGCAAAGATTATGAGCATATGACTCTTTAGCTGGTAAAGAGTCTGGAGCAATTTGCTAAAGCAGTTAAATACAGACTTGGAATGAGAGGAACCTAAGCAAAATGTATGCTTTTCAGAGTATCCGAATTCAGTTACAGCTCTTTGATCTGAGGTAGTCAGCCAGACTGAAAAATGACAGTGTGTGTTTGCGGCCTTAAACTCTATTAAATAACTAAGTACAGAAAAGCACAAAGTTGTTTTACCTTTGCACTTGAGTGTCAGTTATATCTTTCTTCTTTTGTGTCCATTGAGCTTTAATCCCATGTAATGCTTTTTAAACCTGTAGTAATGTTTTATCATTCAGCATAATGCATTTTGGTTTATTTTTATTCTCTTCTCAGGTGTCTATATCTCCAAGTATGCTGATTTATTGCAGCGTAATCCTCTAGAATCTGGAGCACCTGGAGATGTGATTGTTTTTAAAATAATAAAGGTAATTTTATCTTGCTATTCTTGAAGGATTACATTACTTACTGATAACACACGGGTGGTTTTAACCTTACTTACTTTTAATTTGTGCAATTATATGCATATAGAGAAACTAGACCTCTACTAGATTTAAAATCCAGTGTTTATATTAAGCTTAAATAAAGCGTAATAAATTGTTACAAAAGGCAAAAATCTGTTGTGGTTTTTTTTTTTTTTTTAAAGTGTGAAAGTATTATACTTCTAGAAGTGGCTTTCTTAATGACCTATTTTATTTTCTCTGCTGTTATTTTCTTTGGTACTTGAAGCAATTCACCAGTTTCCAGGAAAAAGCTCATGCTGACAATTCTTCTGCTTTATTACAGGGAAAAATGAAAAGCATATATGACCACATTGGTATGAAAGCAATGGAATCAACTGTCAAGAGCGTGTTGGATCCCACCCCAAAGCACGAGTGTCATATTTCAAAGAATGCAAATAAAGTCACCTCCTTGTTGGCTTACCGAGCCTATGAACTTACTCAGGTAAAGCTGGGCCTGTGTTACTTTCTGATATAAAACCTTCATAAACAGAACTTCTGAAGTGATGGAGAGAAAATCACTGAAGATGCAACAAACCCTGAGCTTCCCTGTGAAGCTGCAGCTGGGTGCAGTTCACAGATGCCTGCATTAGAAATCCCAGAACAGCATGGCAGCCTCTCCTGTTCATTCCCATTGTGTGATCCTAAACCTCAGGCGAAGATCTCCCTCAGACTAGGGTGGAGGTGGAATAGGAAATAACTGGGGAATGTACATGAGACTGGAATGGAGGCTGGAAGAGAGGACTTAATGTGGGGAGTTTGAAATGTAAAGGTACAACTGGTTTGTGGTCATTAAGTGAGACTCCTAAAAGAGAAAATATTGGCTGGGAAAGAATAGCATTTTTCTTTATTTTCCTTTCTTTTTTTTTTTTTTTTCCTTCTAATTCTCCTTTCCAGATTCTCATTTTTGGAGATGATGGAGGAAGACAGAATGAAGTAATTTCCAAGCATTTATGTTCCTCCAGGTGTTCTGTCTCTTACTGCAGTAATTTTTGTTGCAGTCAGTTTATTCCACGAGGTCTGCAGGTTTCAGGATCCTTACTTGAAAGCATTCTCTTCAGTATTAGCAACTTCTTTTGTCTTCTGAAAATCACTGGGCTGGATACTGATGGCTGAATCAGATGGCTAAAAAATGAATGTATTTTTTCATTTCTGATTACAAATTTGCCTAAATTAACATTTTATATTAGAATTTTGTGACTGAACTAAGGATAGACTCCAAAACTCATTGCAGTGCTTGCTTTCCTCTGAATTTTTTTTGTTTTTATTAATTATCCTTTCTCTTACCAGGAATACTTTCAAGCAAATGTTGCATTTCAGGAATGTTTCATTCTTGATTTGCTTCTGAAGTACTGTCCATATCTAAGTGGTTGACAGAGGAGGGGAGAAGTACCTTAACTGATTGTATTCTATAGTATATATGAGAGGAGCATTTAAAAACTTCTTAATTTTAAATACCAGCTTTTAAAGAAACTGCCTGTTGCTCCAGGCTTCTGTTTTGACACTGTCACTTCTTTTTCCCAGTACTACTTTTATGAATACGTCTTTGATGAGATCAGACAAAGACCAAGACATGTTTGTCCTTACGCTGTTGTTTCATTTACTTACAAGGATGATATGGTACAAGGACCAAAATTTGTGCCCCCATCAAGGTAAGCTAGGAAATGAGTTTTGGAAAATCTGCATGTAGCATGGAGAATTCATAGTTATTTGCAGTAGCTTTGAGTTTATTTAAATGAACAGTGCTGAAATGAATGGATGTGTCACAGGGACTTAGCATAATAAATACTTTTAATGCAGAGCAAGAGGTGGCAAAATTGGTTTTATGCAGCAGGGTGGCCCCTGTGGGAAGCAGTTCTGCTGCTCTTCCCACCTGCTTACCTTTTGACTGGGTGGAATCCACAAATAGTGGGGGTTTTACCTAACTGAGGGAATTTGTGGACATAAAAACATTCACAGCATTATCTTTCTTGGTACTCTAAAGTGATATCCTGTATATTTTCTCTCTGAGCCCTTCACTGGTGTCTTAACTGCTTGTGGAGACAATATGTAGATGGCCAATTGATCACAGATCCACTGTGATAGCTGTGCTAATAGGAAGATGTCCACGTGTGGGGACTGTACTATGAAATGCTAAAAGCAGTTATCCAGGTATCTAAAGTAGTACAGGATGCTGCAGCAGTGATAGATTGAGGTTAGAGAGGGAATTACCAGTCTTGCTATTTTGTTAGACTGATAAACTATCCTTAATGTAAAATTCAGTGGCCAGAATTCTGTGTTCCAGCCTAGTCATTCTGTCTATCTTCTTCTGTTTAGAGCAAACACCTCTCACACAGATTCAAGTACAGGTAAGTATGAAACCCATTTTTTGGTCTTATGATATAGACAGGGAAGGTTTTGATGTTTTCCCCCGTAGTTTTATGTTTGACCATTTTAGTTATGCTGAGTGTATACCTGAACTTTATCCTGAACCATGCTGGATGCTGATCCTGGATGATCAAATAGACACCTTAATGTGTATCTTCTTTTATCAGAATGAACCACAAGTGAACAAAATCAAGTCTTATGTCCCTCCTTTCCTATACAGAGTGTAGTGGCACTTCAATAATATGATTCTCTGTCATGCTTTGTTTTGAGCCTCATTCAAGCAAAATTAATATGTATGAAAGTGGTTAAGGTAAGGAAAAAGGATATAGTCCTCAGAAATTGGCATCAGGGTGTGCTTGTACTGACAAGTGTGGGTAACAAACCAACCTCCTTTACTCTGCTCAGAGCAGGTCAAAACGTAACAGGGTTGATAACATTCTTTCTGTTACCTTTTAACATTATTGTCTGGTCTGGTATTAGTATGAAAATTTCCCTAAACTGGTTTTGGATATTCAGCAGCCTCTTCTTTCAGTCATAGCTGGCAAGTGGTTTCTATTAGTCTTCCTTTCTCCATGTTAATTTAGAGAAACCTAACATCACATTGTGGAGGGGACAGCTTTGGAATAAAGGCAAACTTGTGTGCCATGTTTCCCTAAAATCAGCAGCACAACTTTTCCTTCCATGCAAGCTGTGAGTATTGCCATTTAGACAGTAAGTTCAGAATACTGCTCAATTAAAACCCTTTTGAGTAGTGACTGGTGAATTTTGGATATATTCAGATGAAAATCTAAAATACTTACTAAGTCCATAAATACATCAAACAAGACTTGAGTCATGTGTGTCCAGAACTTAATCTTGAGTTCAGGCACACAACTGTCAGCATCTCTTTGCTGTTCACTGTTCTGTTGTTTGAGGGCTTGTTGGGGTTTTTTTCCATTGAAGTGACACACACTCCTCTGCAGGAATAAACGCCCCTGGCTCATGAGATAGTCCAAAGAAATTGTTCTTAAGAGCATGTATGTATTAGTTATTATTTTATCACTGAGAGTAGGAATATAGAAGGTAAAAAAAGAGGTCTTTATATTTTTTATCTCCCCCACCCTTTTTCTCCAGTCCTGAGAAACTTGAGGTTGAAAAAGTTGTAAGCATTGATCAGTTGAAGAAAAAAATTTCACCAATGTTGTTCTTTAAAGAAACTTACCAAGGAGGACAAGAAGGTAAATCGTTCTCGCTTAATTTCTTTAAATTCGGAATTTTCAAGTTTTCTGAATTACAGTTTTGTTTCTTTTTTTCTTACCTTCTCTTTCTCCCCTTGTATCGTGTCAGTGTTGAAGAATGGCATGTACTGTAGCCTGTATGAAGTTGTGGAGAAGTCCCGTTCTGGGAGTCACTTAGAGGGTTTACTTCAAAAACTAGAGAAAGAGAAACTTGTGAGTGCAACAGATTTGACTATTCCTGTTTTTAAAAATAATTTTACTAGTTAGTAATTTGACGCATACTACAAGATTCACAATCTCACTGGAATTGCTTAGCTGGCATATGCTTAAGTATCAGGGCACTTCTCTGCCCAAGACAGACTTATCTTACAATCAGGAAGAGTGCTCATAGTGAACAGATGCCTTTGAAGCAGTTGGCTCTTTTTGCTTGAAAACAGGTCCTTGTGAAACCACTTGTGGACAGAGGATTTATTTTTCTTCTTTCTCCTTGGCAAATGATGTCCCCTTATGGTAAGCATACTCTGGGTTTGTGTTTGAGTTGGGTTTGTTTTGGGGTTTTTTTAGGGGTGTGGGTTTTTGTGTACTAGATTGTCTTTTGATGGTACTCTCCTTTTTAACTGTTTTTATTTTTTTGACAGACAGCCAGACTGGACGGTCTCGTGTACTTCATGCATTGTTTCTGTTTCCAGAGCAGAGATGTGTAATTAGCTCAGGTAGGTTTGTTCACTGTTGTGTACAGCTTTATTTAAACAGAGATGATATTCTGTTGAAGACTTTGTAGTATTCAGTCAACATGAACTAAAAGTAACAGTTTTCATTGATTGTGGTCATGATGTTGGTGTTTAGAAATATTTGTTTCTTCACAAAAGCAAATATCACACATTGTATGTTCATTTGTTCATATTTGAGAAAGTAAAACTTGTTGAAATTTCTTGATATGGCTTCCCTGGCTTCTGAATTACATTCCAAACTGTGTTTCACCTAGTGTGTATTAACACAGGGTATTGCTAACTAGTCATCATTTATTTATAGCTTCATGGTTTAATTGTGGATTCCCTTTTCTCCTATGGCAGCACAAAGAAGTGTTCTACATGGAACACAGAAAAATTCAGCTACCCTGGTTTTGCACGAAAAAAAGGAAATCATTCCAGAATTCATAAAGTTGATTCAGTCTCTGCATTTTGCTATAATCCAGTCCCGTAAAGACAACAGTGCAGATTTCAATGTTCTTGTGGAAAGTTACATGCATGAGTACTTTAAAAAACTCTACAGTAGTCCTGGAAGAGGTAGAGAATTTATATTATATGAGTATTCAACACGGCTGGATGACAAAACATTTCTGTTCTCTGCCCCAAGATACAAAGGTCATATTAACCCATGCATGCAGAACTATATTTTTGGTTGTGAGGCCTATCAGCTCCCCGTTTCCAGAGCTAAGGAACTGATGGATAGAAATCGGAAGCCTCAGCGCTTCAGTCCCATCTCAGGTTGTGAAGCTACAGAAGGCTACTCTGACTTTGCCAAGACAAAATGTGGGAAAGGAATCCATCCCAAATATCAAGCAACTGCTGCTAAACAAAAACTGCCTCCTTCTGGAGAATATGATACTGAAAGACTCAAAGAACTTATTAACTTGATCCAGTGTAGGAAGAAAAACGTAGGTGGAGATTCTGATTCTGAAGACCCCAGAATTAGAAGTGGTCTGAAAAGAAAGCTGGAAAAACAATCTGAAAATTTGCAGAAATACCTAAAACTGAGTGATTCTTCAGAGAATATTTGTCAGTGCGAAGGTAAGAAAGTCTTTGTTTAGAGTTCTTCTTTAAACATTGTTCTTCAGAGCATATTTAACATTTAATCATAATAGATTGAGTATTTTTTTTCATGCTGTGGAAATTTAATGCTTGATGGTTCATTTAAACCTTGGCCTGAGATCTGTCAATGGAGATAAAGTTTGTTTTTTGTGGGTTTCCACTTTCTAGGAGAAAAGTTAAGGGGAATTTTCCTGGAAGTTGCTTTTGTTTTGCCTCTTTGGAAAGAAGGCAGACTTTCAAAGAGTTTACTTGCCTGTGGAGCTGTCCAAACACTTTCTAATACAGACCATTCAGCAGACTTCATATTGTTTTGTGTAGAGTTTGACTTCGCTGTAATTCTTTGTGTTTCCAATACCCTATGTCATACCTAAGAAGTTTAGATTGAAGGGAAAAAACATAGTTAAGTTTTGAAATAGCCAGTAATGTGTGTAGTGGGACAAAGGAAGCAACCTAATAAGATTAAATTATTCTATACATGAAATTATCTACAGCCAAACCTCAGAGAAGCCACATCACAGATACCTTCTGACTTAAGACCTGCCAGAAAAAACCCTTTGATTTCTGTTTCCCTGACCCTTTTCACAAGGCAATACAGAGATCTCCTGCAGAAGGGGGAAACGGGAACAGGGTGACACAAAGAAGAGGGGATTTCCATCAAGCACCAGTCACTCTCGTGTATGTGAATCACTGGAAGATGAAGTGACTGATCTTAGGTATCCTTAGATGTCCTCTTGAGGGGGACAAAAGATACTGACTGGAACGTGGGGATGGAGGCGGCAAAGGGTTCATGGTTGGGATTCCTGCTTGGAATTCTCTGAACCTTCCAAGGTCTTTTTACATTGATTATTAATGTAGAATACGTGATGAATGCATGTCTACATTTTTGTTAAAGTAAGTGTGATGCTGAACTAAAGTAACTGATGCTAAAGAGTGAGACTGTGGGTATGTGGCAGATGTTTGAGGGGAGATCTGCTTTTGTTTTTAAGACTGAGTAATGGATTTCTTTTCTCCTCCTCACCATGTTTTAAGGGGGCAGAATGCTGGATTCACCACACTCTGTGTTCTCAGTGAATTCTGACCATGTTGGTCACGAGAGTGACTTCAGGCAGGCAGATGTGTCCGACTCTGCTGCCGACAGGCAGGGGCTCATCAAAGTGCTTCTGGAGATGCTGACCACTGCAGGCCGCTGGGACCCAGAGCTGGAACATTCTGTCAGCCAAGCCTTAGCACTAGGCACTGATGATGTTGAAGAAGGTATGAGACAAAAATATGAATATGAATCCATTCCAGCTCAGGACAGAGATGATCAGGAGCTTCCTAACACTGCTCAGGCTGACAGTGTTACCTTCAAGGACCCGGAGAGCCCGGCCATGCTGGAAACTGACATGCCGTGCTTGCCCTACCCCATCGATGTCGGTCTGCAGCTCCCACCCAACGAAGCAACCCTTGAGCACACATTACATTTACAAGTAAGTGAAGCTGCCAAGATGCTGACACTGAAAGTACTATTTTCATAAATATTATGAGGCTACATGAAAAAAGCATTCTATTATTTCTACAGAGGCAACACAGATAACTTTTCTGTGAAGCTTTTCTGTTTGGTAGGAATATAGATGGAAATTTTCTCCACTCTTAAGCATGTGTTCCTGGTTCTTTATATCTATTCTTTCTGTAATAAAAAAGGAGCAGAGTTGAAGCATTTCACTGCATGCTCAGCTCTCTTTGTGTGCTTCCTTGGTGCAGTGCTGTATATGAGTTCCCATGTGATTGTTCCATGATCTCTGATACTGGTACTTACACACAAAGCCCGGTTTCTAAGTCACGGAGCAGGAATGAATGTATCCTGCCTGTAATCTCCGTGCTGTTTTGTTTCTACCCATCTGGAATCTGAGATGAAATTGGCTTGTTTAAGGGCCCCATACTAGTTGTAGGCAGTGCCTCAGCAATGCCAGCATCTCATGGTACTCATGGTACATTTACTCAAGTATCAAAACAACAGCCTGGAAAGAGTGAGGGTGCAGCCAGTTCTCCCCTCCCTTCCTCTTTGCCACCCCCAGCTTCCATACTGTAAGGCCAGTGCTCAGGACTGCCTTAATATTTTCATGATAGACCAGGGAAGTACCTCATGGAAAGGTTAACTGGACTAGACTGGAGTAGATTGATGGCAGAATTGCCAGTGTGCTGTTGGGTTCAGGTGTATTCTTTCTGTCAACTGCTCAGAATGTAGAAACTTAATAGTGAGCAAAACCAGAAGAAGTTGTTTTGAGATGGGCGTTTTGTTTGTTTTTTAGGAAGCAGGCTCTGAGAATGCCTTTGAAGACTACAGTGCCTGTCCTAGTGCGCCTGTAGAACATGGCTATCACAGGCAACATCCCAACTCAAATAATGTAGGGGAAGTTGGAATGCACTGGAAACTTATCCCAATTACAGGTAAGATGTGTTTTAACTCCTCTACTCCTACGAATAGTGAATAAAAGCATATTTTAAATGGTTGTATCTGGATTCATAGATCCGTTCTTGGATCATATGTTGGTACACAAGCACATCTGTAGCCTGTGCAGTTGTTTCTTGTATTTGATTAATACAGAAATCTGCTGGATGAAAACAGATACTGGTGGAGAATATATGTTTGGCTTCACATTGAAACAAATTAGAAATGTGAATGTTTTAAAAATAAACCAAACTATAGTTTTGAATAGATGGTGAAGAAACTGAGCTGGGGTTATGAGGGGCTTTCAGCACTCCTTGCAGCACCACTGAAGCTTTGTCAGTAATCAGTCAGACTGAGATCCTTCTCTTTCAAGAAAAAAACTTGTGCTCACAATTGCAAGATCAGGTGCAGCTTGCAGTCCAACTCCACAAGGTCATTTGTGTCTAAACTTTTTAAAAGTGAGGATTTTAACCTAATAGTAAGTGAAAATACTTGAATAATATGTTGCCCTGTTTGATTTCTAATTTAATTTTTAATTTTTAATGGAGTTTGTGCTTACTCTGCCTTATCTCTGGGAAAGCAACTTGTATCCTGCTATTTCAGCAAACTTGGTCTATGTTTTACTGTCTTAGGAGCTGTGAAGTGTACTGTGCTTCTGTACCTCAGCAGACTGTAGCACTTGAGTATTGGGATTTAAGTTGGTTGGTGAGGAAGGCATAAAAGTAATGCTGTTTCCAGGCTGTGATTTGGAGGTTTTGGTGTATCAGCTGTGTGTCACTTTCAAACATGAGGTGATGATGGATATTGAACTTTTCCTCTGTAGGTCTGAAATCACCAGAAGAGCCACTGGAGTACTTACCACCAATGGATGCTCTTCCTAATGACCCCCGGCTAGTAAATCGACAGAGAAATTCTGATTATCAGTTGCCATGCTCTCCATTTTCAGACACACAGAAGGGGACAGCAGAAGATGGACATTATGCAGGACAAGTGGAGAAACATGAAGATCAGTATGAGCTAACAGATCAGCCTTTTACAACTAAGGATTCCATTAGAGCAGTAATAGAGACAACACTGTTAGAAGAATACAAGCTCTTTGCAAGAAAGATCCAAGAAATTTTGCAGCAGAAGAACATTGCTTATGTCAGCAGCATGTCCACACGAGTCCTTTCTGCCCGGGAAAGGATAATGAGACTTTCTCAACACATCTGTTTGCAGGCATCAGAGATTTCTGTCCAAGAATATATAGAGAGCCTGAGTGAGAAGCTGAATAGTGTCATTTTGGCTTCTTCATGCATGAAGCAGACTCCCCCAGTTTATTCTAGTCCTGAAGCACTGGAGGTGGCGAGCAGCACTGTCCCCCGGCCTGTGCCCGACACGCTGGCCGTGTGCGGGGACAGCGACACAGCGCCGTTCCCAGAGCCGCTGTGCAATAACCTGGGGGGAGAGCTGCGTTCTCATGAGCAGCCTTCAGCAAGCCTGCCCCCAGGGAAGGAGAAAATGGGTCATGGGAATGCTAAACCGGAGGATCAGACTTCTGGTGGTGATTTCATGGAACCACTAGAAAAGACTCAGAAATCCCCTGAGAACTTAAACATTTCAACTCAATCAGCTTTTACTAATTTTATAAGCCAGTTAAATCCTGAAGTAGTTAACAGTTTGGTTGAAATAATGAAAGATGTACAGAAAAACACAGTCAAATTTTATATTCATGAAAAGGAAGAAAGTGTTCTCTGCAGAGAAATCAAGGTAAAGCTGTTTGTGTTCAACCTCTCTCTAGTGTCAGAACAGGGTGTCTTTCAAATCCACTTGTATGAAACTGGACTCACTTTCACTGTGAAAGTGAATTGTGTAAGTAGGTTGTCCTGTCCCATTTCTTCCTTGAGCTTTTGAGGTAGTCTTGATTATATTTAGCTTTTACGTAAGTCTTTTTCTTGGAGCTGGAAGACAGAACAGGCTGTAGGTTGGTCCTTTCTGAAGATCCTGCCAGGGGGTGGCCTTACAGAAAAAAGGTAGTAAGGGAAGAAATGTGATAGCTACCATTTTAGAAAGAATGCACGAAAAATCATTCTGTGTGCCTTTGGGGTTTTTTCTCTTCCCCTCTAATTAATAGTAGAGAGAACTTTGAGAAATCACTGTGCTTCTGTACTTTAAATGTGTAAGATGGAAGTTGTAAACTTCTGGCTTTCCTTAAAAACTCAGGCACTTTGATAGTGTCAGTTGGCTGTGTGTGTGTGAGATTTGATAGTAATAACTGACTTGCTGAAACAGCTGCTTTGTGTTGCTTCTCATTAATGTATGGGAAAGACAAAGAAGCCAGTCCCTCTGGGATTCACTGAAAGGAAAACCTTCTTGCCATGGGTGTGATCTGGGCATTCTTTTTACCAAACTACCTACTGATTTTTTCTTTGTCTCTTTCTGTGGTGGCAGGAATATCTTAGAAGGTTAGGGAATACAGAGTGCCATCCAGAGCAGTTCCTTAAAAGAAGAGCTAAATTAGATAAACTGATGATCATTATCCAGAATGAAGACATTGCCAACCTCATCCATAAGGTATGTCCTGCATAAGTAACAGTGTGCTACAGAAAGCTGTTGGCAATAGTGAGAGCTCATTTGGAGCAAGGCCGATTCCTTTTAACAGTACAGCATTCAACAGCATCCTATGTTTAGTTGCTGTTTGAAGAGACAAAATGGTTGTAGTAAAAGTGGTCTTGTCCCAGCATTTACCCAAAACTTCTTCCACCACCATGCATTTGCTAATGCATATTTATTGTTAGTACCTGTAAAGCTGTACAGAGGCCTGAGTAGTTCTGCTTCTGGTTCTGTGATGCTCTAACAGGAGGTGAAGGCAGGTCTCAGATGACCTGAGCTATTTCTGACAGCTTAAGACCCTGTGCTGGATAGAAAGTAAAATTACTCCAAGTGCTCAATGTCCATTTACCTTATTCCTGTAATGCTCCTGAGAGACCACCTCCCCAGGCAAGAAAAAAACCCAGTAATTTTGTGAAAATGTGTTTTGGTGCCTGGCATTAGTAGGTAGGAGAGTTGCGTAGTTCCTTTTTCTGTGTGATCTGTGATTACACTTCTGATTTCAAATGTTTTCAAACAGGTCCCTGGCCTGGTGACTCTGAAGAAGCTCTCCTGTGTCAACTTTGCAGGGGTCGATAGTTTGGATGATGTGAAAAATCACACTTACAATGACCTGTTTGTGTCTGGGGGTTTTGTTGTGTCAGATGAATCTGTCCTTAACCCAGAGACCATCACTACAGGTAGGTGTGATCCTTCTGGGAGCTTTAGAACCATAATCCTGACAGTTCAGTACCTGAGAGCTCCTGTACTCACCATAGTGAAGGATCAGGTCTTCCAATTTTGTGATGTATTTTGAGAAGAATTTCAGCTAATTCTGTCTCTTTCTTAGCCCAGTGGCCTTCTTGAAGAATACATGAACAGGGAGATTTTTTCTTCAGTTTGTATTACATTGTGTAGTTATGTCTGTGGAGCATTTTATTCCTCCTTCCATCCACAAATATGCTATATATATTTTTTCTTTATTTGAAACTGAATAGTTAATGAAGTTAAAATATTTTAGCAAGGCAGAGCGTATATGCTGAGGTCAGCCTTTAAATACCACTGCTGGGCACCTGAGGTACAGAAAAGCAGCTCAGTTTTATGGTACTGTTGTTGGCCAGCCTGGAAGAAAACTTGAAATAAGTGGCTGCTGTTTGTAATTGTGTGACTGTACTGTGATGAAAGCAGAAAATAGGTTTCTGTATACACTAAAGCAGTATTTTCAGTCTACATACCACAAAATTTAACTTTTATTCAATATCTCTGTAACAGAAAAACTAAAACAGTTCCTAACATTTCTGGAGGATCTCAGTACCCCAGATGGAAAATGGCAGTGGAAAGTCCACTGCAAAATACAAAAAAAACTGAAAGAGCTGGGGAGGTAAGTAAGATGCTATAATACCAGCTGTTAAAATGCTTCTGCTTTCATTATGTCCTCCAAAACACACTTAAATAGAACTTACTCTTATGTTTGTCTTTTTATGTTTAGACTGACCTTAAATTGTTTCTAATAGTGAGCTTTTCCTCCACTGCAGGATGAATGCCAATGCCCTGAACCTGCTCACTCTTCTGAACACCTATCAAAAGAAGCATTTGGTTGAGATTCTGTCTTACCATAACTGTGATTCTCAAACTCGAAATGCTCCAGAACTTGACTGTCTGATCAGGCTTCAGGCTCAAAACATACAACAGAGACATGTTGTCTTCCTAACAGGTAACCCCACATTTGTGAATACCTCTCCCCCTTTTTTGATAATAGGTGCTAAATAGTAATACAAACCCTTTCTTTATGTATTTAGAAAAGAATCTCAAAACGCTCTCGAGTTATGTTGATAATGGCATAGTGGTCGCTGCTGTTGATGACTTTATGCGTAACTTCAAAAGTCTTGTTGGCTATCACAACTCTGTTACTGAGCAGAACCACCTTTCTCCCTGCAGTGCTGGCCAAGGACAATCAGGTAATGTCAAACACTCTTAAACTTTCCTTTCCAAACTGCATATGTGGGGTAGAGGTTGTGGGACAGTGTGCCTTGACTCTGGTCAATGGCCACTGCAGCTGGCAAGGAAAACCAACTCTCCAGCTACTCTTTTTCTGTTTGAAATGATGGGAGAAAAGCAGTGGGGATGGAGCACCAGAGACCTTATGTGCAGAAGTACAGGCTAAAATGGTATTGGAGGCACTAGACAGGGCATCTGTTTTCAGGAGAAGTATAGATTTGTGTCTACCTGCTTTATCTACTTAGAGTAGATAAACTGTACTGAGATGTCAGTAATTGTACTCCTTTAATTGTCTGATCAAATACTCACCTGCTGTGTAACTTTAGATGCTGTTTTGACATTGTCCCCTTTGGAGCTGGGAGTTGAGATTTCCCAGCACTAAAAGTGAGCACGGTGTGCAGAAGCTTTTAGCACCGAGTAACTGGACACTCCCACAGAGGGTTAAGTGTGTGTGTTGAGTAAGTGAACACGAGTGGCAGAAGACCAAGACTTAAAGTGCTGTTGGACTGGCTGAAGTGTAACACTGTGAGTAGTGTATGGCCTTTTTAACCAAAGTTTGTATTTCAATAGAATAGGACTTTCTCTCTCTTTTAATGTAGTTCTTGTAGAAAAGGATGAAAAGGATGAGGAGGACATGTCTCTGGATTCAGGGGATGAACTGTCAGAAATAGAAATCTGCAGTGATGCCTCTAAGTGTGATACTCATGTGGAAGCTTTGCAGACAAAGGCCAAGGGCCCACATGGAGTAGATGCTAAGGAAAGCTGCTTATCAGTTACAGAGTTATCTCCTGAAGCACAAACTGGCCTTGTGGAAAAGACTTACAAAACTGACTTGGAGGAGAAACAGCCAATTACTCCAGTTTCTACAACATGTTCTGCTGAAGGAGAAAAACACAATGCAGTTGAACAAACTCCTTTCAGCAGCTTCCAGGTTTATAGCAGACCGTTAAACATGTCCCATCAATTCAGCCACTTTAATGTACTCACTCATCAGACTTTTCTGGGAACAACATACCCAATTTCTCCTGCAAATCAAAACCAAGACGAGAGCAATTATTTTCTATCTGCCTACAGTCAGAGCATGGATACAGAAAAGTCATCATCACTTGGTGGCTGGAATAGCTGCTGTGATTCTTCCAGGCCATATTCAGAACAGAAATGAACTCTTTAAGTCTCTTTTTCTAAGTTGCTGTGGACTTCTCTGTTTCTAAAATGTTGGATTAACGATTTCTATTTTATTCTGGAACAAAATGTTTCTTGTTCTTGTTATCTCAGATGTTTTCATGTTCTATTTAAATTCCTGATGGCCTGTCCCTGTTGGAACCATCTGAAAATTTAAATAAATGCATATATTTTTTAACGTCTACTGTACTTGAATTATCTTGTTTGTTGGCACTTTTAAGTTTCTACATTTGTATTTGACCTGTTACCTAGGCTTCAGTTTGAGGTCTGTTAAATGTAAAGCTGAATGTTTGCCTAATATGTGAAAGAGCGAGTTGTTCTCTTTTTTTAACTGCGAGAGTATCCAAGTCATGTTTCTTTACATAAATATTAAAATTAACGTATTTATTTGACATCGATACAAATTTTGTACAATGTTTTTACATAGCTCTAAGGCAGTGTACTTATTTTCATGATGACATACTGGATTTTGGCTAAATACCTCAATTAGAGTAAACAATGGTGCAGTTCCATTACAAAAACGAAATAAACTCTCAATGCACAAGGGACTTGCTAACACATTGCTTTGTCTGTGGTTTTTCCATTGTTTGCAAAGTGCCTGAGGAACACCCAAGCTTGGTTTCATGCACAGCAATTATCTGTGGGTCTCATTTGCTCTGTGCCACTGCAGCACCATCTGTGTCCTCCCAGCTTTTATCTGGCCACTGTGATTACTGTAATGAGAGAAGGACAAACCTGGGTTTAATGATTGGGGGAGTTCAGTTTGGGTCAGAAAAACCTCGGTCCTCTCTCACTTCAGCTTAATGATGCCTGGGGCTTTCGGGCTTTTTTTTGTCTGGTTTTGTTTGTTTTGTGAACTAGCACTGGGGTAAGTATGGTTTTATCTGTTTCTTAATCATGCCTTTTAAATTTCACATCTGCTGAGTTCCCAACCTCTTCCCCCTCAGTGATTCTCTCCTTTTGTTCATCGTGCTCTGCCTCAGGCTTCTGGAAAGCAGCAGCCCTGGTGAGCAGCTCTGGAGTCTCCAGACACCCCTTGATGCTGCACTGCTGGCTTTGCTGAGCCTCTGACTTCCACTGCTCATCCTCAGCTTGTCCAAAGCCCTGGGTCTGGGGGGATTTGTAATTCGATTTCAGTGTTTTTCTATGGGATGTGCTGTTTGGTATCAGCTGAGTGTCTGAAACTACATAACTCTTAAATTCACAAAATCAGTTGGGGCAAAGTTACTGGTTAAAAAGGGCAGTTTTTAACAAAAAACTTGTAGACTTTTGCCTAAAGTTACTTCTTTCCCTCTATAAACAGTGGATTGATTTATTCAAGTTAAGAACCAGTACCAGATGAGTTTAACACTCGTTACCCTCCCCCCAAACATGGCAAGTAATCTTTTCAGAAAAAAATAATTCCCTTTTATCAATGGTTTTTACCAGACTGTGTGATGAACTGTGGTCTTAACACCTGGGTGTACTCGAGTTGATATTCCCTGTGTAAGCCTAAAAGGTGGCTGAATATTGAAAAATAATATATAATTATATTTATATATTATAGTATATATTTATAATTATATATATTATAATTAAATAATTGTAATACAAGCAGTTTTGTATATGTAAAAACACCAACAAAGATGACTAAAACCGTTCAGAATACATCTTAATCTTTTTATTTATCAAAATTCACAGAGTTCTACAAAAACCCATGTAACGGTTTACTTCCATGTTTTTGGTAGTTTATATTAAATGGCCACATGTCTTCAGGTAGCATGAAAACCATTCTAAACAGACAAACCATCATGAGTTTAACATCACCCTGTAGTCTATCAAAATTCTCATAATTTAATTTTCATAAAAAAGAGGTGGTTCATAATTAATTACAGTAGCAAAGTGCTGTGCATTTCCATATTAAGAATTCAGAACACTTATATGCACCTCTCAAAATGGTGGCATGAAGTTCTCTTGAGCTACAATGGGAATCAGAGTGTTCTCCAACTCCTTCTGCTTCTGCAGGAGGCCCTGAAATAAATATAAATGTGAATATTCTGTCTTCCTCAAACAGCCTGAACTAATGAAATGTCATTGTTTCACAGTTGAAAACAATTTCCTTGTTAAGGGCCAATGGTTTTTAAGTACCCAGCTTCAGAAAAAGCAGTACAGCCTCACAGACTTGGGGGTGAGGGCACTTGGACAGCATTCATGTGTGACTGGAGTGGAAGCCAGGCCTGTTGCCAGGGATGTGCACACAGAGGGAAACTTTTCCACTGTATGAGATGGAACTTTCTCATCCCTTTGTGCACTGTCTCTGCATTTGCAGTGAATTCTTGTATGAAGCAGAACCCAAAACCCTGGTGGGCACTGGCACTGATGATTTAGCCTTAACACAAACAATATCCTTCAGAGCAAGGGCAGCAGAGCTATTGGAACTAGAGCAGTGTCAGACATTTCAGGATAAACAGATTAACTGTCAAAGGGTTCAAGGTTTGTGCTGTGTCAATTGTTCTTTCAAGTGATGATAGAGAAAACCTGTCACAAAAAAAACCTCCTGGAAATGTATCCTTGTCTATCAGGTCATACACGATAGAACTGTGTCAAGTACATGCATAAATTAAAAAGAAGTATTTTTACTGTAATTAACATGATAATATATATTGATACATCTGGCCTCTTGCTTCTCTATTTTAGACTTGGCAGAAATAATTTGGTACCATGGAAGTTTGCTTTTTAAAAAAGAAAAGCTAATTATTTTTCTCAGAGTTCCAAGGCCTTTCTCAAAGATAAGTTACAGGCTGCTGGCACAGCTCAGTACAGACCTAATGCAAGGAAGCAGCTCCTACAGCAGTTTAGACACAGATTCCTGGTGGGACCAAAGGAAAGTCTGCAAAGCAGCCTGTAAAGACTCCACTTTGGCTCCTTCTAAGGCAGCAGCTGCCCACTTTCAATCACTTGATGAATTGCTTTCTTATTAAACAGGATCTGCTTATTTCTACTAATGGGTCAGTGTTTTCAGTGTCTGTGACAGTAATTATTATTTTTACTGAGCATTTTTTGCATTTAGAAGTGCATCACAAAACCAAGTTATAAAATAAAGTGCCCTAAATAAACCAAGAGCTGAGGACCGAGTAACCCTGAAAGCTGGCAGTTCAGTGTTTGTCACATGGGCTGCACAGGTACTGGAAAGGTGCTGAGCAATGGGAAATGCCTCCCCAGGGAGCTGTGGGGGTGTGTCCCCACCCAGCCATTGTCACCTGCAGCCCTTGGCAGCGCTGCTGCTGCCTAAGGAACAATGGGGTGCTCTGGAAGTACTGACCTGGGGTGAGGGGGGTGTGCTCCTCTTTCTTAAACTTTGGCCCTTCTTTTTCACAAATAATTCACTTTGCTCGGCTTATCCACTGACTTTTGATTTCAGTGAGGAGAGTGAGTCTGTTGCTAGTTCTTATTCCTGCTGTGACCTGAGACATAGGAAGAGATTTGCTGTCTTGTAGCAAATGCAGTGACAGACTCACCCTCCCTCTGCCCTTTCTTTTCCCTGGGTCAGCCAGTCCCACTGGGCTCTTACTGCACCAGCCCAGCTGTATTTATCACTGATGGGCGTGGAGTTCAAAGAGCAAAGACTGGTAAAAATTATGTGACCATTATGTGAATTCCCCCAGACAGAACAATGGCTAATATGTTGTAAATAAAGATCTAGATGTATGTATGTAGTCAGAAACTATCAATCTACTCTATATACATATATATAAATGTAAAAGAGCAAGACTAGAATATCTTCTGAAACAGAAAACTCAGCTTTTTGTATTTCAGACTAAGTCCTGCCCCATTCATACTTTCTCAGTGAAATAACTGATGTAAAACAGGTGTCATCAGGAGCAGTACACAAGACTTAGGTATACAAGATATACTGAAATGGAACAGGTCATGTTCTAAATGCTTTTTGCAGCTGACAAGGTATTTAAAAAGGAACTCCACATGTTTTAAAGTAACTCTCTTGCAGAACCAAGATCCACTGAAAGACTAACCTTGCTTTTTAGCCACTGCAAAATTGACTGTAGGTTCACGTGGCTTCTCTAAGCTTGCCAACTTTAACCTGTTTAAATAACCATGGCTTTTGTATCCTTGGCAAGCACAAGGATTAAATTGTACCTTGAACCTGGCTTTACTCTTCAGCAAAATGCCACTGGCAAGTGTAGTGAAATACAGAACATGGACCTGCCTAAACAAGGTGAACCACTGCAGGCTGTGAACAGCACAAGGACCGAGGGGCTATTGCAAACTGTACCTGCTTCCAAGGACGGACCCAGCCCTATGCTCAGAGTGATAACCCTAACTGCTTCCCAAACACGGAGCTAGCCCTGGCCAGCTCAAAGTGAAAACTGACAAAGTATCAAAAAGTACCAAAAAGTGAAAACTGCCAAAGAAAACAGTGAAGATGCAAAGTCACAGGTTCTGCTAGAACAGATAAGGAACTACAGAGCAATCAGTGAAGTAGGCGTAGGTGGCCCGTAAGTCTGAAGTGAAGATCTCTGTGTCATAAAGGAAGATGTAGTTATTCATGTTAGTTAGATTGGAATGATGTGTTGTATTTGTAAACTGAAGATAAGAAAACCACAAGTTATGGAAGGCCCCAAGCCCCAGATCTGGGATTCCAAGATAAGTAAGTGGCAGGGACTGGTGTCACACGTGTCCAAGTGTAAAAGCTGCTGTGGAATGAACAATAGTGGGATGTGCGGATCGGGATGCTGGCCCCTGTGTGCTCCTGGCACCAGCAAAGGTGTCTTTACACTGCTGTGGAGTAGATTCCTTTGGATCAGAAGGCAAAATACTTAACAGCTGTAGATATTTAACAAAAATGTTGAGCATTGGGGAAGACAAGATCCAGTGGTGGAAGCTGTTAGAAACTGGCAGCTTTTCAGTGTTCTTGGGTCACAACTTTTCTTACTGACCTGGGGAAGTTATGAGTGTTTTTCTGCACAAGGAATTTACCTACTGCTGAAGCACCATGTGTACATGGCAGTGCTTCTGTCTTTCTAAAACACAACAGGTAATCAACTACTGCTAATTTTGTTGTGCTTCACTGTCAGCTTGTCTTCCCTTTATTTTGATTATTTATGAAATTTTCCTCTCTCAATGCAGAGAAAACTGCTGCTAGCAGTAAGATACATTTGGTTTAGACCCATTCAAAAGCAAGGGAAGATACTGGTACATGTTTATTTTCAGTGTTCTTCACAAGGAAAAGGCAAGCTTGAAGTATTTTTTTGTCTTGCGGTCCTGTCAGGCCATTTAGAGGCATGAAAGAGGAGTGCTCATGTGCTTGTCCAGACCTGTGGGCCACACCTTGCTGCCAATAGATGCAGTATCCAATTCACTCGGGCTTTAATGATAAGATGCCATTACAAGTACCTGACTACAAAGAGAACAATGTACACAAACACACAGAGGCTTTTACCTCCGGAGCTCGTGTGTCTGTGGCATTAAGCTAATTTTAATTTTCTTTTCAGAAAACCTGGCTGATTGACAAATTCTGAATTTTCTTTTTAC